ATTACTTACCGAGTGTCACCATTCGACATTGCCATTGCTCAACATTGTTTTCGTCGCGGAACAGCTCAGCAAAGAGCGGCCGATTTCTAACAACTTATTTTTCTGTGAAAACTTCGTAGAACTTCGGAGACATCATTAATATAAATAATTTTAATCGCCGTTGAATAAGAAATGTTTCTTTCACAAGAAATGTATAAAATTACAGTACTGTATTAGACTTACGGTACCTAATTTACATACTGACAGACGATAGTTAGCGTAAAAATCTCCGTAGCGTGGCGCCACGCTAGACGGCGGAAATTATATATTTAATTATAATAAAGTTACAATAAGTTAATATATAATTATATATACAGTACCTAATTTATATATAATTAATATATAATTATATGTACAGTACCTAATTTATATATAATTTATATATAATACTGTACAGACGATAGTGATCTCTCCATAGTGTGGCGCTAAGGACAGCTGGAAAGTAGTTCGGCTGCGCGATGACGTTTTATGTAATTATAGGAGTTTTTACGGGTTTTTATGGATACCGTCGCAATTTTTTCGCAGTTTTATAGGAATTGTAATTATAGGGACTGTAATTATAGGGCGGTCTACTGTAAGCAACTTTTACGCATTCTGATAATAATTAAGCATTTTTTTGAAGACTGTAGATACAAATTAAACTGTTATTAAGCACTTTAATACTCTGTATTAAAAATTATTTATTTAAATAAAACTTTGTAAATATTGTTGTTTTACATTTGTGTATTACAATTTAATTGTTTGGTAGATCATTTTGAACAATTGTTCATGCTCACAGAAAATATATTACAAGACGTATGACTTCCAAAATTTCAGTATAACTTTTTGTAATGCCTTCCAAATATCATCATTAAATCTAGATTATTCATGGCTCAAAAATAGTCTTCAGTCTGAATTTTTCTGTGGAACTAAGTATTCTTCTAAGTAGAATGAAAATTTTTAATGATGTATTTTTTTATATTGAATGCAATTAAATAAAGAGTTTGAATTAAATTTTCACCAATTAAAACTCACTTAAAATAATTTGATCATCAATAATTATATATTTATAAGAAAAAGAAAGGTTTAAAATCTTGCTTTCTTAGTGTCTTAAGAGTTAAAAACAAAGTAGTTATTTTGATGAAAGTTAAACAAGTGCCTATGTCAAATTTATTTTGATTTTGTAAATTGTAAAAATGATAGTTTTACACAATATTTATATTATTTTTCAAGAATTTATTTTCGTTTTAAATATTTTTCATCTAACTTATTTTTAGCTCAAGGTGTTGGAATTTTTCTCATTAATAAACTTTCTCAATTGAAAAAATGGTCTCGTGATAGTGCAAGGTAAGAAAACTAAAAGATGTTTATAATTAATGAAAATATTTTTCAAAAAACTTAAGAATTATTATTATTAATTTTTATCAGCTTTAATCCAGCTACAGTAAAGGAGTCTTATGTCATATCACGCTACATTGATAATCCATTACTCATCGGAGGGAGAAAGTTTGATTTAAGAATATATGTTTTAGTCACTTCTTTTCGCCCATTGAAACTTTATGTGTAAGTATTGCTATTATGAATACTATTTTAATTTGTTTGTTAATGCTTTCTAACAATGAAAACATAATTTTTTTCTTCAGTTATCAATTGGGATTCTGTCGATTTTGCCATGTGAAGTACACTTGCAGCGTTAGTGAATTGGATAATATATTTGTCCATTTAACAAATGTTTCTATTCAGAAACGAGGTGTATGTATAATTTTTTCCACCCTTCTTATATAATATTTTTATTCTACTGTTTATCAATCATGTTTATGATCTGTAGGAAGAATACAATAGTGTTCATGGTGGAAAGTGGACTATACAAAATTTAAGACTGTATTTAGAAGGAATAAGAGGAAAAGAGGTATGATTTGAATATACAGGATGTTCGGAAATTCCCGTTACAAACTTCTAGGACTTGTAGAGGGGAGTGAGTACATAATATTTTGATAGGAACCCATGTCCGGAAACGTACTGTTTCCGTTCTACAGCGGTTTCAATTCATGTTTCATGTTTAAGTCATGTAAAGTTTAAGTGTTAATAAAAATAAATGTACTTAAGTGATAATTGGATGTTTCATTATGTTTCCTTTCGAATAGTTACCTAATAATTGCACTGCATCACAGCTAATTCAAATTCCTCAAGCAGAAGTGGAAGAATTAAACATCTGAATTGAAACCGTCGTGGGTTCCTAATCAAAATATTATGTACTCACTCCCCTCTACAAGTCCTAGAAGTTTGTAACAGGAATTTCCAAACACCCTGTATAATTAATTTAAAAAATAATGTACGATTTCCTGGAATATATATTAATTTTTTTAACCTCTTACTAGACTACAGATAAATTATTTGACAAAATTAACTGGTTAATACTTCATTCCATGAAAGCAGTTGCAGTGAGTATTTTTTATAATTCAGGGTCTTCCAAAAAGAATGCTACCATTTTAAATTACTGTTAATTATTATCTGAAAAGTTTACAATGTACTGTACTCCAATTGGTTGAGTAACTGTCTGTCTGAGTTTCAACTCCCATTTGCATTCAAACATCTTGTCATCTATCACCTCTAGTAAGTATTGTCAATGAAAACTGCAACTTCTCATAGAGAAGGTGTTTGTTCTGTAGTTAGCAAAGTTGGAATCACTCATTGTGCAACATGAGTAATATGCAGGAGCTGTAGAATTGTGGCTGCTATGGGAGAGAAGTGACAACATATATGATGTAGTGAATGTGAGCAGAATTTGAGTATTGGTTGGATGTGTGCTGTGTTACAGTACAAAGTACCCACATTGAGAAATTGTAATGGGCAAATGTAAAACTTGGATAGTTTTCCAATGTTTTAATATACAGTACAATAATTTAAAATGGCAACATTCTTTTTGGAAACCCTATATATATTTATTTTCTGTATTCATTCTGAATTTTTAAAGCAGATTCATCTACTTTTTTCTAGAGCGTGATTGTTAGTGATCGTCATTGTTTTGAATGCTATGGGTGAGTGGATAGTAGTCCAACTTAGAAAACATCAAATAATAATATTGGTAATACAAAAATAGCATGAAGACTTTAGTTTGATACAAAAGATAAGAGTATAATTGTTTTAAGTTATATTCTTTATTTTTCAGTTATGATATCATAATCAGTAATGATTTGAAACCCTGGCTTATTGAAGTAAATGCATCTCCATCGCTAACTGCAACTACATCAAATGACCGAGTACTCAAATCTAAATTGATATCGGATATTCTGAACATAATAGTTCCCCCAAGTGAATTGCCTGAGTGAGTACTGTGAATGTATAATTCAAATTTCTTTTTATATAACATGCATTTTTAAAAATTTATTTGTTAATAATCTTTTAATACAGTGCTCGTTGGAATAGGACTCCAGACAAATCTGCTTTGGGGAATTTTTATCTCCTGTAAGTTAAAAATTTTTAAATATATATGTTTTATATAATATATAAATAATGTATATATTATTTTTTGGTATTTCAGTTATGATGAAGAAGCAGTTTTAGCTGAATCTGGTAACAAAAAAGAGATTTCCAAACAAAAAGGCGAAACGAGTCGTACTGGAACCAGAGGAAAAGAGAAGTCAGTGCCTCATTGGAGATGACATACAAAAAAACGCAGCAAAAAGCAAAATTCTAGTCACAGATAACATTAAACATAAGTTAATTACTCAAATAATTTTAAATTATATCAACTTTAAAACACATTTTACAATTTTCTTAAGCTTAATATAAAGAATTTAAGCTGTTACAATGAAAAATTTACTACTTAGCATTTGTCACAGTATTTAAATTATAATAATATAAAAAATTCTAATTGAATCAATGTCTCTACTCTTGCCTTGTGATGTTAACTTCATCTTTATCTGAAATGACCTTAATGTGAAATGCATTTTTGAAATATATGTTAAAACTGAAGTATTTTAATATTTCACATTTTTATATTTATGTATTTATTCTGCTGTATAAATAAAAAAAATTTGGAGAAGTAGAATATAATATTGTGGATGTTATTTGTATTTGATCAGAACATTTGTTTTAAATTTAAATAGTATACAACCTATATTAAATAAGTACACATAGCTCAGAATTTAATTCTCTTACAATTAAATTTCTTTAATTAATATTTTAATTGTCTGCTATTGTAATCAGTCATCTAATGTAGTGTTTTTCAACTGCTGGTTTGTAGAAAAATATTTGACTGTACTGATGCTGGAGCAGTTGATTAGATAGCATTTAAATAGTCATCTAGAGTTACTGTACATTGTTATGCGCAGTAATGCTAGATAAGCGTATATAAGCATAATTTATTGTTGCATATAATTACTGGTCATGTAAAATTATCCATAATTCTATCAGTCCACAATGAGAAAAAGGTTAAGAAACACTGATTTAATGTTATCAAAATTAGCATGGCCCAGAATGTATAAGTTAAAACACACTTATGAAATCTCTCTTAATGTAATCAGAGCATTTGGTTAGTTTTCACTAATGTTCAGATAAATAAGCATTTTAAATTTCTTTTCATGCTTTGAACCTCAACATGGCTAATCAATGTGTAATCTTTATCATCGTTTGTTCATAATACATAAATTGCTGGCATTTGTTACTTCAATTACATACTACTAACATTGCAAACAGCACTGTATGAATTACAATAAATCTTCAAGTTAAAAATAATGCCATTTTTAATATTAATCTTTAAAACAAGAATTTCCACTAACTATAGTCTTACATACTTGAGTGATAACATTAAGCAATGTATTATAATCACTTAGAAATTTGCCTACACTGATAAGTGGATTCTATTAAACAGTTTAACATAAACAAGTTGAATGAATTACTCTCTATAAAATGAAAAGACAAACTTTAAACAAATAAAACAATTTACAACAAAACAGTCAATCAAGTTATGTTTGATATGTTATTCAAATGCCACTGTGCAAGTCAAAGTATTGAACAAAGCAAGTGTTCACTCTCAATTGAATCATCCTATACTAAAACTTGAAATCTTTATTGTTACTTTTTTCATTTTATTTAAATTAATTCTATCGAGGTTTCTAATATTGACCTCTTAAGCAATATCCCTTAATAACTGGATTGTACCTTAATAAACACCAGAAAATCCAGCAAAAAGTAGTTTAATTATATAAACAAATGTTTTTAACAATTTTAAATTGTCATCTTCAGGTTGAAGAATAAATATGGAAAGTAGAACCCTAAATTTTTTTAAAAAATGAATACAGTTGGATTTTATTGGAGAGAACATATATGCAATAACTGATGCAGTCCTCCAATTTTGCTGGATTTTCTGATATTTATGAAGGTATAATCGACTTCTTAATTTTTAAATTATAAAATTTATTGGTGTTTTGATATTTATAATTATGTATACTCAAAAATTCAACAATAAAATTATATTATTCAGTTTTAATATTTTTGTAAATTTTCCATTTTTAACAAATATATTTTACTTCAAACAAATTTTTATTAAAATTTTTAAATATATGGCAACTATTATTGTTCACATATTTGTTTTTATTTCTAAACTACATTCATCTGGTCCAAATTTATCATTCATTATAAATAAAAAAAATATCTTGAAAACCATTTGGCATTTCTTTAGCTTTACTGTTGATGTATTTGACAAAACGTAACGTATCTTGATCTCTGTAAACTAATGCAAGAGAATTTGTTGACGGACAAATAGATAAAAGCTCTTCATCTTCGTTTTTTGCAATGTACGAAGTAAAACCGCCATAATCCATTTTCCAGTTATTACAATTAAAACATAACAATGAATCGAGAGCATAACCAACATTTTCTTTGTCATCGTCGTGTATTAATGTGTAAAAACCATGTTTCCACTGTCTAATTTCGTAACAGCATTTTGATGTAACCTTCTTGTCTTCTTTCAACGACGATCCGGCCATTTCATTACTCGAAGAAGCATCATCTATTTCTTTCTGAGCATCGGCAATCAATTTATGCAAAGTAAGACCAGTCAGATTAGATAGCATTAAAAACATTGCTTCGGACTGAAAGACCTTGATACATTCCTTAACAATCGTAGGAAAAGTATCTGCATCGAGCTGTTCGTAATTATATCTATTTGCAGGTCCTTTTCTAGTCCAGCACAATTCATTAGCCGCAAGAGCTTTTTCGACTTCCAAAAATTTATCTGTTTGCAAAAAATCTTGTAGTTCTATTTCAGAATCTACTTGAAACTTTTCTTGAACTTCCATTTGAACGTTCGATTCTAGATAAATGGGATTAATCCACGATCTGAAAACAGTTTCACTTATATATTCCGGACTTACAAAATCGTAAGTGGATAAAAAACACGGATTTGATCTCTTCAGCGGAGGTCCATGAAACCATCCGCTAATTGACAATCTCGTCTTATCCAGCGATAAAACTTCTTCCACTTGATGAAAAGAAGTTTCACTCACTTCAAAAAAAACAAAATTATTCCACACCGGCAAGAAAGTCTTGACAATATCTCCTGGATGGCTCTTTTTATCACAATCAAACAACTGCAAAGATCCTCCGTCTTCTTCCTTCCAAGCCGGTACCAAATATAAAATGAAAGCGACACGGCGCTCTTCCAGCTCATCGTCGTGGCACAGGAGAACATCGCCATGACTGTACTGAGAACACGTTATATCCATTTTATCGTTTAACTCAATCCCCATTATTTCACTCAGCAGAGTGCGGAAATCTTCGTACAAGAGCTTGGTCAACCAGTTAATGTATCGAGTGGCGATGTTACTCAAGTCATTCGACTGGTGGAAGGTGTACAGATCGTTATTCTTTTCATGGTAGGTTAAATCCAGCAACTCTTCCTTCAATCTTCTCAGTGACTCTTTCTCATTGATAAACTTGGGAAGAACACAAACAGGGAATGGATCACTGTGAAATTCAACACAGCCATGCTTCATGTAAGTTTTTGATGAGTATGCTTCCTTCAATTTTGATTTAAATTCTTTGGTTAGATAAGAAGGATTTATGGTAATTGGGTTACTCTTGCATCTTGATCTACATATTTTCTTCCTGGATTCCCTGGGTGAGGGGGATGCAGGCCTTTTACTTCCTTGGGAATCACTCATCAGAATTTTACCTATTAACGTCTTAAGTAAGATTAATATATGAATTTTATCTAAATATAGCTTCTTCTACTTCACACAGAAGTTATATCCTTTGCTTTTTTGATAAAATCTTTCTGAACTTTCAAAGTACGTCACACACAGCCATTTCCTACGTAATAATTACGCAGTTATGCCCGGTAAAGATTTTCATTGGTTGTTTAATTCGAATAAAATTATTTTAAAATTGATTACCATAAATATATTTTGTATATTTGTTAATTTTAAAATTTGATATTAATTATAATTAATTAAAATTTATAATTACTTATAATAGTAATTAGAAATATATAAATTATCAATATTGCCATCTTTTGTCTTCTAAGTAGAAATTAAATTTTTTATTCAAATTTTAGCTTTATGTTATATTGTTATACTGCATTTAAATATTAATATTTAAAAATTAAATATTTTATAATTTAAGCATGTTATAAAGTATTTAATATAATATATACAGTAGAGAGTCAAAAATCCGAAATAGGTTTTCTTTTTCTTTCCGTCCTGTCGGTACTAAGATGCCTCTTTTAGCAAGCCCATTATGGATTTGGCCAGACCCACAATGAAGCGGCCGGGTAGTGAGGGACGTGGGACGACATTTCCGGTCGGACCATCACCGAAAATTTCCTGGGAATCTTTCGAACTTCCGGATACGAATCCGGGTCCTCCACATCCGTAGGCTACCACCTTGACCGCTCGGCCATCTGGCCGTCAAATCCGTAATAGTTGGGCCTACAAATTCTCATTGTCGTCCGTCCGTCATTTATAATCTCTAGAACGGAAGTTAGAAAGATAAAATCCGCGAAAGATATGGAAACCTGGGGAACATGAGGCCCCGATTAACTATATGTTTTGAAGTTTTGAATTGAAATACAGTATTGTGATTTCCGGTTTGCATCGGACTTCACGTATTCCAATTCAAAGCCTTTCCCCTGAATAAAGTTAGATAGATGACCGGCAGGACTCTATTGTTAAAGGAAAAGCATGATGTACAGTGACAAGACACTAATAATTTGAAGGTGAAGAGCACCTTCAAATTATTAGTGTCTTATATTTTAAATTAAAAAAACTTGCAGACCCGCATTGTGACCATGTCACAATAAATAATTGCTCGTTTTACATTTTTTCTTCTTTGATATACTGTATTTCATTCCATATTGTTTTTTTTATACTTCTTAAATTTATTCTTATCCGGAGTAAGTATAGTTTTTTACTCTCATATCTACTCGTTGATTGTAAAATCTGTCTCTCTATTCTCCATGTGTCATGACGTTAGATACAAGACATAATTGACTTCGGTAAGCGTAATGTTCTTGGTGTGTATTCCTCCCTCAGAAACCTAAAATAGTTGATATCTGTTTTGAATTTGAATTGTTGTCTTCTGAACTCTGGTATCTTGGACTCCTTTACAAATTTAGAAATAAAAACTATTAATATAAAGTTAAAATTATCGATATTGGTCGGACATTATCACTTATTCTGCCAACAACTAAAAAAATCTAGCACCGAGTTGCTTAACTTTCCCGGCAACATTCAGTGACGCCATCTGTTATCATATTTTTATTTTTAAAACTTTTTATACTTTTAACTACATAAAAAGTCTTTTTTATAAAATTTTTATATAAAAAAGATGTTGTTATAAAATGTCAAAAAGCTTAATTTTGAAGGTAGGGATGGATTTTATAAAAAAAAAATTGTAAATGCTAATACAGTAGACCCCCTATAAAACGGGTTCATATATCATAGTTCGGATTCCTATATAATGGCGAAAAAATTGCGACAGTAATCGTATAATCACGCTAAAAGGAATCGTATAATTCAGTAAAACGTCATCGCCGACTCGTGGCGCGAGAGGATTGGTCGAATCTAGACCAATAGCAGATATTGTACAAACCGTTGAGTTTAAACGAGCAGCGGACCTACTAAAAACCATTTAGTATTTAACGTCTATAAAAATTATATTTATAGTAATGATGTCTCCAAAGTTCAGCGAATTTTTCGCAAAAAAATAATTTATCAGGAAGCACGCGAGCGCCATTCGATGACAATTTCCACGACGAAAACAAGCTTAAGCAATAGCGTCGTCGAACGGTGCACATTCGGTAAGTAATCCTACAATTTTTTGTTTATAGCATAGTTTATGTGTGGCCGGATGGCCGAGCGGTCAAGGTGGCAGCCTACCGCTCTGGGGGACCCGGGCTCGAATCCGAACGGGTCGAAAAAATCCCCAGGAATCTTTCGGGGGGTGGTCCGTCCGTATATGTCGGACCTCGTCCCTCAACACCCGGCCGCCTCATTGTGGGCCTAGCCTAACCCATAATGGGCTTGTTAAAAAGAGACCCTCTTAATGCCCACAGGCGGAAAGAGTTAAAAAAAAAGTTTCTGTTTCTNTGAATTTCTGGCCAAAAATTCATGAACAAGAGCATTGTGAGAAGGTGCATTATTGTGATTTAAAATCCACGAGTTTTCTCGTTACGGATTGGGTTATTTTCTATGAATTGCTTCATGCAAATGAAACAAAATGCTCAAATAATATTCTTTGTTGACAGTTTGGCCAGTTAGAAGGAATTCATGATTCACAACACCATGTCAATCGAAGAAAACAGTCAATATGACCTTGATTTTTGACTCAAGTCAGAACTTTGACATGATCTTTTCAATCTTGCTTCACCTTTTGAGTCCTGTTTCAGTTTCAAAAGCATAGATCTATGTTTTATCACCCATAATGATGCATTTTAAGAATGATTTGTCTAGAGAAAGCATTTCCTCACCACTTGAACACATTGTGTTTGGAAAAAAGTCAACATTTTCAGAATTACTTGAGAAGTGACACACTGCAAGCCGAAATGATCTTTTAAAATTGCTTGATAAGATCCAAATGATACTGGAACATATTCAATAATGCCCCTAATTGTTAAATTAAGACAATTGAACACCAAATCTCTGACTTGAGTGATGTGTCATTCATCAGTCAAAGTGGATGGTCTACCAGTGTGTTGAAACATCTTGTAAGTCTTGTTTTTGATAGATTGTTGTCACCAAAGGCTTTTGCAACATTTCCAATATTTTTGTAGCAGTAATTCTATTGCAAAAACCAAAATTTAATGCATGTTCTTTGCTCATTTACACTTGACATTTTGAAAAATTGGCAGTGCAAAAATTCTTTATGCACAAAACAAGTGTTTATTTGCAAACAAAAGCAGACGATGCCATACAGATTTCTGTTAGATGTTGATGAAATTTGTACCAAACAACGACAGTGCTCTCTTGCATGTGCACAGTTTAAATGAACCATTCCCAGTACTTTTTAATCACAGTAATATTATTGACTTGCTAGTGCTTCAACTCAATTCTTAGTTTGTGTTTAAACAGAAAAAAAACTGTGCCTAGTAAAATATAATTTTCTGTGAATTAGATAAAATTTTAATTAACTGAAGTTTATTTTCATATACAGTCAATTTAAGTTTTGTTTGCAAGAATGCCATTTTGTTATGGAAATGCTGGTTTGTTAGTTTAGATGACTTACAGTAAATTTCTGAGCATATGTTTTTGTTGTATTACTTTTAATGACTTGATGTATAATAAGAAATATTTTTAGGACCTTCCTTCTCTTATTACTCAGAAGAAAGACAGTAATGCATCAGAATCAGTGTATGAAAATGAGATGAAAATTGCTTGGCGATATCAGAATTTACCCCAGTTTGGAAAGGTAATTTTTATAAAATCACTAACTTCTAAACAATAATTCTTGAATTATATAAAATTATCTTCAGACTAGAGATTAAATAAAAATATACAAATTTATTAAAATCAAAATTAACCATGAATAATTCATTACACACATTGGTTATTAAGTTTTCATACTTCTTCAAAAATATAATAATCTGATTAATAAGAATATATTAATAATTAGAATTTTTATTGAAAAAGAAATATGAAAAATATTCATTAGAAAATTAAAATTCTAACATTTTTAGATTTATAATGAAGCTAAATACAGTTGAACTTCCAATAATGGCCACCTGCCAACAACAGTCCCTTCTAAACAACAGCCATTTTATATATTTCTGTCAGTGGTTCTCATTCAGAGGTTTGACTGTACATTTAATTTAACCTTTTGTCAGATGCAATCTGTATTTTAAAACAAGCAGGTGAAACCTGTCCAGGGGACAGACAGTTTTTGCTTCGAGATTAAATATTTACTCTAATTTTTCTTCATTATTATACATTATAATTATTTATTTGAAAAGATAGTACTGTATATACACAAAAACAATACATATAATAAGGAAAATAGGGGAAAAATATATAACATATCACTACTTTGAGCACTATTTTAGTCTTTGGAACCACATTTCAATTCATTTTTATGATTACTTTCTAAAATTTTTTTGTGCTTAGATTGCTTTTATTTTCATCATGTATAGTAGTATTGGCATTTTGCTTCTACTCTTCTGAATGATCTTGAAGAATTCAAGGCATATTTTGTAGTAAGATGAACATATAAAAATATTCTACTTGCAATTGAAAGAGTAAAATTTGCATAGATCAGTAGTAAAAATGAACCAATCTTTTCCTTAGTAAAAAATACAAAAACATAACATAATAGTTGTAACATATAATTTATCAATTATCTATAATACAAAATAAATGTTTGCTTTTATTCAAAAATAAATACAGTGGAACCTTGCTTAATGAGTAATTTGCATAACAACAATTTGTTATGCAAATTATAACAAATTATAATATAAACAAATTAAAATATACAACACATACACTATATAACTTATAAATATAATTGTAAGATTTCATTAGGTAGAAACTCGTGATTAAAATTATCTAAGAGAAATTTAAATTACTTGAAATTGTTTTTAATTTATAATTTTTAAAATTATTTTTTCATTAAAATTTATTTTAGTCTTCTACTGGTCATCAGTTCTGTAATCAGTACAACATCAATACAAAAATGAATCATGAAGTAATATCAAAGTGTTCTCCGACAACAATAGATATCTCTTCTGAAAATGAATCGCCACCTGAAGATAATTCTCAGTTTTTAACAGCTTCCTGTTTCAAAATAGCAAATCGCCTTCAAACAATGATAAAAGATGGATTATTTAGTACATCTCAGTCGTGTTCACAAAGAAACATATTAAGGATAGCAATACATTCATTAGGATCACCATATTGGAAAGAAGAGTACTCGAAAGAAAGATGGGAAACTGATATACTTAGATTTCTCTATTTATTAAAAAGTATGATGAGATCGGCATTTTCAGTCGCTGTTATCAGTGTTCCAGTTAATTTACTTCAAGTAGGTATTTTCCTTTTATTTAAAAAATGTATTGAATTTATTTCAGATTAATTTGGTTTAAAATTTTATTAGAACCATGTTTTGTTGGAAAGGATGCGACTTATATGCGATACTGTGATAAGGTTAGAGGGATTTGATTCCGCAGAAGGTGAAATTCATCCTGCTTTTAAAGATTATAAGGGTAATTATTGCATTTGATACTTTTTACATGTACTAAAGTATTTAAATATAAAATTTTATACATAAATACATAAATATTTCTTCTATTGAATTCTTCATGATATTGTTCTTATGGTAATTTTAAGTAATCCAAAAGCTGTTATTCTTACATCAATGTTTTCTACATTAAAGTCCATAGCACTGGTTAGTCTTTCTTCATTAAAGCATATTAAATTGGTCCAATAGATTTTGATGTAATTTTATAAGGTTAACATTATTGACATATTTAATACATTTTTAAAAGATTCAAATGTTTTATTGAAGGAAAAGAAATCAAGTAAATTGAAGAACTTATTCATAGAAAAAATTTCACATATGATAAAGAAAAGATAAAATAGTTGATAAGAATTCAGAAAATATAGTAAAACCTGCTGAAAATGGAAACTTGTCATACCAGAAAAAGTATTCAGTACCATGTGATTCTGGTTTACATAAGTTTTACTGTACACAGAAAGTAAAGATTGTGTAAACAAAGGTTTAGAAATTCTTATCAAGAGAAAAGTAAATTTTTATTAAAAGATTATTGAAAGATGGGGAAAGTTTGGGAGACATAAGGAATAAAAATAGGATACAGAAGGTACCCCTCCCCATGCCTGGACAGCCATGGTTGCAGATCATTTATTACATGTAAAATTTTGACTAATAAGAATAATAATTAAACATTTTTTGATAATTATTAATCTTTTAGACAAACAATATAGATATAAAAATAAACACTGTATATAAATTCTTAAATAATAATAAATTAATAAAGGTGACAATATTTTTTGCATCTGGGCAACCAACTACATAGGCTAATATTTCAACAGTTTTGCAAAGGATTTCTTCTATATTCATAATTTTCCTTATAATTTGGCTGTGATAACTTCCCAGTAATACTTCCTGATTATGCTTGGAAAAAAATGAGAGTTCTGGAAAAGAATTCTCAAGGATTTTACTTCATAAGTAGTAGGAATGTAACAGACACTTGGTACATGTGCTTGGTCGAGTGGCCAGTGCTGCAAAGCTATTATTCGTGGGATTATGACTGAACACCCCTAAGGCAGAAGCCCCCTAGCAGCGGAAACAGTAGTCATTGTGAGAGTACGAGTACGAGAAGAACCACAGGTTCAGACACTTTGTTATTTGGTCACTTGTTGCTAGGATGTTGGCAAGTGCAAAGCAAGAAGAACGAACGCAAGCCCCAAAATAGATTTGAACCTTGGGTACGGACTCTTGGGTGTTGACCACATTAAACTTGTGCTTGGCTAAGATTCCCATTAGCCGTAACAAGGAGGATTTTTATCATATTTATTAAGATTTGATCTTAGTGTAAGAAATTTAAACTATCAATTTCATAGATTTGGGGAGAGAAAGAAATGTAGGCCAAAGTTTTTAAAAATTGTTTTAGGATTAGGAACCCATTAAAAACAATGAAAAGAATACTTATAAAGCAACATATACAAAATAGAGCTTAAATAAATGGTTTAAAATCTTATAGGTAATCTAATTACACTGTAGAAACTCTCTTCTATTTTTTTTGTTATATGTTAATAGAATAATACAGATTACCAGCAGTAAGAAAGTTAGAATCATTAATGTTAAATATTCTACATATGTTAATGATTGATTTTCTAATGTTTGATAATTATTCAGCACTGCTAATTCTCTTAAATTTTAAGCTAGGTAATGTGTTAATAATATTGCAAATAATAATACTAAAGTAAAAAAGTAGGATAAAGAAGTTAATATACTTTCTGGATTATACATACATACATACCATTTGTGCTTGTCATGAGTGTGGAATAAATGTATTCCACACTCATGACAAGCAAGGATTGTTTGGTTTATTTAGTTAAGGGCTAAAAGTGATATATCATTCCTTTGGTTATGGTAATGTGACACGTGCAATCTGCCAAGGGAGATGTTTCCGGGAGGTCTTTTATGGGGAACTGGTCCCTATTTAAGTGTTATAAATGTGAAGAAAATCCAGAAAACTCCAAGTGGCCAGCCTGTTGACAAGGCACGATCCCTTGACCAACTACCTGTTCAGTGAATTTATCCACTCAGCCACTGGTGGGTGATGAGCAAGGAACAATAGAATATCAACTAGCAAATTTTATCTAATAACAAAGTATAAATAAATAATGCTACAAAATTGTTTTATGAAATTATTTTTTCATCATGTTTTGACAAGCAAGATGTATTGACTATAACACTGAAAATGACAAACATGAGAGATCTAGGAAGAGAATAAAGCAGAAAAAATTGGGTTATTACAGTACATGTCATTAGAAAATAACACTTCAAATAAATTTTATGGCAGAATTAATATGTAATGCTTTAGCATGTGTATAGAATAATTGATATAAAACTGCCAAAGCATGTTCTGTTTAGTTTCATATTAATGTAATGAAGAGGAGGAAGACCTATATGAAAACAAATGAGGGACATTAATACAAAATTAGATATGAAAACAGTTAGTTGGTTTGGTTAATTATTGTTTAGTGTGGAGACATTTAAGAGGTGAGAAAATTCATATAATGAGATATTATGTCAAAAATATCTTGCTTGAAATTATAAACAGTGTGATCATAAAATCACTTCACAGTAGGTGAGGAAAGGGGAGAAGCTTCCAGGAACAAAGTAATGAAGTCACAGGCTACTGGGCATGAGTGACTTTATGATTACACTATGTCAAATTCAAACACAGTAAATCAAGATGCAGGTCCTATTCAATATTATTTGGTAAACCAAAGCATTCTGTAATTAAAAAAAAAGGCTCTAACAAAGATCTTCTTGTAGCCAGGCTTTTATGACTTAGGCAAACAGTTAGACATTTGAATTTTTTCTGTTTTAATTCCTGCAAGATGTTAGAAATATTGATTTTTAGAAAAGAAATCAAGATCATGGGCCAGATATGAAGCTTTAATATTCTGCCAGTTTGCGACTCCTGCACTATATAATAAATGCATTTAACCACATAGTGTAATCAAATACCAAACAAATAGCCAGAATCTTTACGAGGCTATAAGGCTTGAAAAATAATTTAATGGTTATTATATTTAACAAAAGATGGTGGCCTGATGACCTGCCTCCTACCAAGTTGCTTAGTAATCATTTAGTCTTGAAATTATATTTGAAATTGCATTTATATTCCATGAGTTATAAAATGAGCTTATGATTTCTTTTTATATTTACTCAAATTTGATAATTAAGATAGAGTAACAAAAATGTGAGATAATCTTCCAGTTATTAAATTTCCTGTTAAGTCTTTTTTTCTTTGTTTCAATTATTATAAATATATAAAATTTGAAAATGAGCTGATATGTTTTAGTGTTAAAAGAATCAATGCAAAATAGTTTATATATTTTTAACTTAATTATAATTTTGAAAAATGTTTCTTTAAATCTTTAAATTTTCAAATGATTATTGTTTTAAACTCTCCATAAATTATATATAATTTTTTATTAATAATTTTTACTGAAATATGATAAAATTTAGTATTTATGAGGTTTACTATTTCAAAATAAATCTCATAAAGTTTCAATATTGATAACCAGATGGACGAGTGGTTAAGGTGTCGGTCTACTACTATCATGTGGGATCAAATCCGAAAGTCGATCAGTTGAAAAATCCTGGGAATTTTTCGGGAGTGGGTCTGTTTTGGATATTTTGGACTCCTTCTCTTACCACCTGGCTTTTCCAGTTGTGGGTCTTGCTGAACTCACAATGGGTACAATTCATTTTTGATTCTTTCTAACCTGTGGGTCTCTTAGTGCACATAGTGTGGAAAGAATCAAAAGTGAAAACATGTTTCAATATTTTACAAAATATCTGGACAGTTATGGCCAATTTGAATTATCAAATTCATATTCTGTCTAATATACACAGGGAGTCTGATATTAAAGGTACAGGTCAAAATTACACTAACATTTATAAATAAAGAAAATATTTAATACATTCCACAAAAACTACATACTTTTGTGACATAATCGCCTTGAACGTTGAGATATTTATCCCAGATGAAATCCGTTTAGACATCCCTTCATGGTATTGTTGCTTGAAGTAGTCCAGAATGGTATCTTCCAATTCTTCCTGATCTGCAAAGCGTTTTCCCACCAAAAATTTCTTTAAAGGTCTGAATAAATGAAAATTCGACAGGGGCTAAATTTGGACTATACAGAGGATGTTGCAGGACTTCCCAGTTCCACTGTCCCAACCACAGTTTGGTTTGATTTGACATGTGGAGTATAGTCCAGATTTAGCCCCCTCAGATTTTCATTTATTCAAACTTTTAAAGAAATTTTTGGTGGGAAAATGCTTTGCAGATCAAGAGGAATTGGAAGACACTGTTCTGGACTATTTCAAGCAACTAGACAGTACTTGAAGGGATGTTCAAACTAGTGTCATGCTGGGGTAAATGTCTCAACATTTAAGGTGATTATGTCGAGAAATAAATAAAAGTATGTAGTTTTTGTAGAATGTATTAAATATTTTTTTTATTTATAAATGTTAGTGTAATTTTGGCCTGTATCTTTAATATCGGACTTCCCTCGTATATTTATTTTATATTATATATGTTTGTGTTGAGCAATTTGTTATAAATCTCTGATACTTGTATTATTTGTTATTGAATACATTTTTTGATATTTTTAATGTATTAATTATAATGTTTAAAATAGGTCTTCTACATGTGGTCAAAGTACATCACTTAAATTTATTAAAACCTCACAAATTAGACACTGATGATTTGGCTTTTTGTTTCCGGAAAAGGAGTTTAATATTTGAGGTAAAATTTATGTATATTATTTTTTACATTTAATAATAATTGAAATATATATGAAAATAATAATATTTAATAAAAATAAAACATAAATCTTTAATTGTGAACACAAGAAAAACTTAAGAATTGATTTGTTTGAACTTCAAACATTGTTTTTTAAAAAACATTTATGCGACAAATGTGATTTATCAGGCCATTCACAGTACAATCATGCACATGTTAATAAAAGGTACTTATTATTCAAATATTTTTGAGTTTAAAAATATTTTTATTGAAAAGAAATGAATGGTATTAATACATTTTTGAAACTTCCATAAGAATTTCCAAAATTAACAATAGAAGATTCTCTAGTAAAAAATCTTTACTTTTAATAGTTTCTTTACAAAGTATTTGTAAATTAATAAATTATTAAAGAGAATGTTTGGTGATTACATATCTATTTTAAAAATATTAAATTCATTGTATGACCAAATGATTGCCTGATTATATTGGGATGTAGGTGTCATCTCTTGATAAATTTAAAAATTATAATTATAATTAATTTAGAAAGCTCTGGAAGAAAAGAATTGGTCTGAAGTGGAACTCAAACCTGAAACTCCTGCTTACCATATAGTTGGCTATTGCTTTACCCTGGCATGACATATATATACAAATATAAACATTTAATGACCCAGTTATTAGTGATTGCCTGATTATATTGAGCTATATTAATGCTACTATTAATAATTAAATATTAAGCAATTGGCCTAGAGGTAGGAATTAGTTNTAAACTATAAATTTATAATTCTTTTTTCTTTCTTTGTATTTTAGAAGAAGATAAATATGGAAGATATGCAAAATTACTCATGAAACATTTTTTAGCAGAAGGTGTAACAAACAATCATTCAATTTTATTAGCATCTGGAGATGAATCTCCAAAAAAGATTTTGGAGGTATTGTATAATTATATTCCTCTTTTTATAATTTATTTGAGGGGAGTGTTAGCAAAGCCTCTTCTAAGTAGCATATAGAATTGAGTTTGTTTTCAAATTTGATTGGTCATTTTGATAAAAGTTTGCCATTTTACATTAAATGTGATGAATCCAAAAATGTGATAAAAAATGGGGGTTCATGACTTTGTTTTTGAGTGTAGTCAAAGTGACTGTTTGTGCTCACTGATGCTGTTGTGCATGTCTAATGGAAAATTGTTGCCCTAAACAAACAAAGCACAAGAACAAAGCAATTGATGCCAAGCAAATGTAAGGATCTCCTTTCCACAACAGCAAGGGCAGGGATCATCTCTCTGTCAGGCCAGTGCAAGGATTGCCTATCCATGACTGTCAGAGGTTAAAGTGACAATGTCCATGGTTGCTAGCACAAGTGCATGGAATTTGTTTCCTTTTTTATTCCAGTAGTTATTCCACTGCCATGGTAGCAGCAAGTGATTGCTGTAGATGGCCTCCAAAAATACCTCTGATCAAAAGTATTGGGAACGGTTCAATAAAACATAAGATTTAATTTATTCATCAAAATAATTTCCTCTCACAGCAATGCACTTATGCTACCATTTTTTCCAATTCTGGAAATATGCTTTAAAGTTGTTTTTGTGAAACTCCTTTAGGATTTTCAACAAATTTGGTTTTATGGTATCAGTTGACTCAAAATGGTGACCACAAAATGGAAATTTTAGTTGAGGTAACAAGAAAAAGTCACATAGCACCATATTGGTTGAATATGGAGTTTGTGGAACCATAATTTGTTGAATTTCTGGCCAAAAATTCATGAACAAGAGCATTGTGAGAAGGTGCATTATTGTGATTTAAAATCCACGAGTTTTCTCGTTACGGATTGGGTTATTTTCTATGAATTGCTTCATGCAAATGAAACAAAATGCTCAAATAATATTCTTTGTTGACAGTTTGGCCAGTTAGAAGGAATTCATGATTCACAACACCATGTCAATCGAAGAAAACAGTCAATATGACCTTGATTTTTGACTCAAGTCAGAACTTTGACATGATCTTTTCAATCTTGCTTCACCTTTTGAGTCCTGTTTCAGTTTCAAAAGCATAGATCTATGTTTTATCACCCATAATGATGCATTTTAAGAATGATTTGTCTAGAGAAAGCATTTCCTCACCACTTGAACACATTGTGTTTGGAAAAAAGTCAACATTTTCAGAATTACTTGAGAAGTGACACACTGCAAGCCGAAATGATCTTTTAAAATTGCTTGATAAGATCCAAATGATACTGGAACATATTCAATAATGCCCCTAATTGTTAAATTAAGACAATTGAACACCAAATCTCTGACTTGAGTGATGTGTCATTCATCAGTCAAAGTGGATGGTCTACCAGTGTGTTGAAACATCTTGTAAGTCTTGTTTTTGATAGATTGTTGTCACCAAAGGCTTTTGCAACATTTCCAATATTTTTGTAGCAGTAATTCTATTGCAAAAACCAAAATTTAATGCATGTTCTTTGCTCATTTACACTTGACATTTTGAAAAATTGGCAGTGCAAAAATTCTTTATGCACAAAACAAGTGTTTATTTGCAAACAAAAGCAGACGATGCCATACAGATTTCTGTTAGATGTTGATGAAATTTGTACCAAACAACGACAGTGCTCTCTTGCATGTGCACAGTTTAAATGAACCATTCCCAGTACTTTTTAATCACAGTAATATTATTGACTTGCTAGTGCTTCAACTCAATTCTTAGTTTGTGTTTAAACAGAAAAAAAACTGTGCCTAGTAAAATATAATTTTCTGTGAATTAGATAAAATTTTAATTAACTGAAGTTTATTTTCATATACAGTCAATTTAAGTTTTGTTTGCAAGAATGCCATTTTGTTATGGAAATGCTGGTTTGTTAGTTTAGATGACTTACAGTAAATTTCTGAGCATATGTTTTTGTTGTATTACTTTTAATGACTTGATGTATAATAAGAAATATTTTTAGGACCTTCCTTCTCTTATTACTCAGAAGAAAGACAGTAATGCATCAGAATCAGTGTATGAAAATGAGATGAAAATTGCTTGGCGATATCAGAATTTACCCCAGTTTGGAAAGGTAATTTTTATAAAATCACTAACTTCTAAACAATAATTCTTGAATTATATAAAATTATCTTCAGACTAGAGATTAAATAAAAATATACAAATTTATTAAAATCAAAATTAACCATGAATAATTCATTACACACATTGGTTATTAAGTTTTCATACTTCTTCAAAAATATAATAATCTGATTAATAAGAATATATTAATAATTAGAATTTTTATTGAAAAAGAAATATGAAAAATATTCATTAGAAAATTAAAATTCTAACATTTTTAGATTTATAATGAAGCTAAATACAGTTGAACTTCCAATAATGGCCACCTGCCAACAACAGTCCCTTCTAAACAACAGCCATTTTATATATTTCTGTCAGTGGTTCTCATTCAGAGGTTTGACTGTACATTTAATTTAACCTTTTGTCAGATGCAATCTGTATTTTAAAACAAGCAGGTGAAACCTGTCCAGGGGACAGACAGTTTTTGCTTCGAGATTAAATATTTACTCTAATTTTTCTTCATTATTATACATTATAATTATTTATTTGAAAAGATAGTACTGTATATACACAAAAACAATACATATAATAAGGAAAATAGGGGAAAAATATATAACATATCACTACTTTGAGCACTATTTTAGTCTTTGGAACCACATTTCAATTCATTTTTATGATTACTTTCTAAAATTTTTTTGTGCTTAGATTGCTTTTATTTTCATCATGTATAGTAGTATTGGCATTTTGCTTCTACTCTTCTGAATGATCTTGAAGAATTCAAGGCATATTTTGTAGTAAGATGAACATATAAAAATATTCTACTTGCAATTGAAAGAGTAAAATTTGCATAGATCAGTAGTAAAAATGAACCAATCTTTTCCTTAGTAAAAAATACAAAAACATAACATAATAGTTGTAACATATAATTTATCAATTATCTATAATACAAAATAAATGTTTGCTTTTATTCAAAAATAAATACAGTGGAACCTTGCTTAATGAGTAATTTGCATAACAACAATTTGTTATGCAAATTATAACAAATTATAATATAAACAAATTAAAATATACAACACATACACTATATAACTTATAAATATAATTGTAAGATTTCATTAGGTAGAAACTCGTGATTAAAATTATCTAAGAGAAATTTAAATTACTTGAAATTGTTTTTAATTTATAATTTTTAAAATTATTTTTTCATTAAAATTTATTTTAGTCTTCTACTGGTCATCAGTTCTGTAATCAGTACAACATCAATACAAAAATGAATCATGAAGTAATATCAAAGTGTTCTCCGACAACAATAGATATCTCTTCTGAAAATGAATCGCCACCTGAAGATAATTCTCAGTTTTTAACAGCTTCCTGTTTCAAAATAGCAAATCGCCTTCAAACAATGATAAAAGATGGATTATTTAGTACATCTCAGTCGTGTTCACAAAGAAACATATTAAGGATAGCAATACATTCATTAGGATCACCATATTGGAAAGAAGAGTACTCGAAAGAAAGATGGGAAACTGATATACTTAGATTTCTCTATTTATTAAAAAGTATGATGAGATCGGCATTTTCAGTCGCTGTTATCAGTGTTCCAGTTAATTTACTTCAAGTAGGTATTTTCCTTTTATTTAAAAAATGTATTGAATTTATTTCAGATTAATTTGGTTTAAAATTTTATTAGAACCATGTTTTGTTGGAAAGGATGCGACTTATATGCGATACTGTGATAAGGTTAGAGGGATTTGATTCCGCAGAAGGTGAAATTCATCCTGCTTTTAAAGATTATAAGGGTAATTATTGCATTTGATACTTTTTACATGTACTAAAGTATTTAAATATAAAATTTTATACATAAATACATAAATATTTCTTCTATTGAATTCTTCATGATATTGTTCTTATGGTAATTTTAAGTAATCCAAAAGCTGTTATTCTTACATCAATGTTTTCTACATTAAAGTCCATAGCACTGGTTAGTCTTTCTTCATTAAAGCATATTAAATTGGTCCAATAGATTTTGATGTAATTTTATAAGGTTAACATTATTGACATATTTAATACATTTTTAAAAGATTCAAATGTTTTATTGAAGGAAAAGAAATCAAGTAAATTGAAGAACTTATTCATAGAAAAAATTTCACATATGATAAAGAAAAGATAAAATAGTTGATAAGAATTCAGAAAATATAGTAAAACCTGCTGAAAATGGAAACTTGTCATACCAGAAAAAGTATTCAGTACCATGTGATTCTGGTTTACATAAGTTTTACTGTACACAGAAAGTAAAGATTGTGTAAACAAAGGTTTAGAAATTCTTATCAAGAGAAAAGTAAATTTTTATTAAAAGATTATTGAAAGATGGGGAAAGTTTGGGAGACATAAGGAATAAAAATAGGATACAGAAGGTACCCCTCCCCATGCCTGGACAGCCATGGTTGCAGATCATTTATTACATGTAAAATTTTGACTAATAAGAATAATAATTAAACATTTTTTGATAATTATTAATCTTTTAGACAAACAATATAGATATAAAAATAAACACTGTATATAAATTCTTAAATAATAATAAATTAATAAAGGTGACAATATTTTTTGCATCTGGGCAACCAACTACATAGGCTAATATTTCAACAGTTTTGCAAAGGATTTCTTCTATATTCATAATTTTCCTTATAATTTGGCTGTGATAACTTCCCAGTAATACTTCCTGATTATGCTTGGAAAAAAATGAGAGTTCTGGAAAAGAATTCTCAAGGATTTTACTTCATAAGTAGTAGGAATGTAACAGACACTTGGTACATGTGCTTGGTCGAGTGGCCAGTGCTGCAAAGCTATTATTCGTGGGATTATGACTGAACACCCCTAAGGCAGAAGCCCCCTAGCAGCGGAAACAGTAGTCATTGTGAGAGTACGAGTACGAGAAGAACCACAGGTTCAGACACTTTGTTATTTGGTCACTTGTTGCTAGGATGTTGGCAAGTGCAAAGCAAGAAGAACGAACGCAAGCCCCAAAATAGATTTGAACCTTGGGTACGGACTCTTGGGTGTTGACCACATTAAACTTGTGCTTGGCTAAGATTCCCATTAGCCGTAACAAGGAGGATTTTTATCATATTTATTAAGATTTGATCTTAGTGTAAGAAATTTAAACTATCAATTTCATAGATTTGGGGAGAGAAAGAAATGTAGGCCAAAGTTTTTAAAAATTGTTTTAGGATTAGGAACCCATTAAAAACAATGAAAAGAATACTTATAAAGCAACATATACAAAATAGAGCTTAAATAAATGGTTTAAAATCTTATAGGTAATCTAATTACACTGTAGAAACTCTCTTCTATTTTTTTTGTTATATGTTAATAGAATAATACAGATTACCAGCAGTAAGAAAGTTAGAATCATTAATGTTAAATATTCTACATATGTTAATGATTGATTTTCTAATGTTTGATAATTATTCAGCACTGCTAATTCTCTTAAATTTTAAGCTAGGTAATGTGTTAATAATATTGCAAATAATAATACTAAAGTAAAAAAGTAGGATAAAGAAGTTAATATACTTTCTGGATTATACATACATACATACCATTTGTGCTTGTCATGAGTGTGGAATAAATGTATTCCACACTCATGACAAGCAAGGATTGTTTGGTTTATTTAGTTAAGGGCTAAAAGTGATATATCATTCCTTTGGTTATGGTAATGTGACACGTGCAATCTGCCAAGGGAGATGTTTCCGGGAGGTCTTTTATGGGGAACTGGTCCCTATTTAAGTGTTATAAATGTGAAGAAAATCCAGAAAACTCCAAGTGGCCAGCCTGTTGACAAGGCACGATCCCTTGACCAACTACCTGTTCAGTGAATTTATCCACTCAGCCACTGGTGGGTGATGAGCAAGGAACAATAGAATATCAACTAGCAAATTTTATCTAATAACAAAGTATAAATAAATAATGCTACAAAATTGTTTTATGAAATTATTTTTTCATCATGTTTTGACAAGCAAGATGTATTGACTATAACACTGAAAATGACAAACATGAGAGATCTAGGAAGAGAATAAAGCAGAAAAAATTGGGTTATTACAGTACATGTCATTAGAAAATAACACTTCAAATAAATTTTATGGCAGAATTAATATGTAATGCTTTAGCATGTGTATAGAATAATTGATATAAAACTGCCAAAGCATGTTCTGTTTAGTTTCATATTAATGTAATGAAGAGGAGGAAGACCTATATGAAAACAAATGAGGGACATTAATACAAAATTAGATATGAAAACAGTTAGTTGGTTTGGTTAATTATTGTTTAGTGTGGAGACATTTAAGAGGTGAGAAAATTCATATAATGAGATATTATGTCAAAAATATCTTGCTTGAAATTATAAACAGTGTGATCATAAAATCACTTCACAGTAGGTGAGGAAAGGGGAGAAGCTTCCAGGAACAAAGTAATGAAGTCACAGGCTACTGGGCATGAGTGACTTTATGATTACACTATGTCAAATTCAAACACAGTAAATCAAGATGCAGGTCCTATTCAATATTATTTGGTAAACCAAAGCATTCTGTAATTAAAAAAAAAGGCTCTAACAAAGATCTTCTTGTAGCCAGGCTTTTATGACTTAGGCAAACAGTTAGACATTTGAATTTTTTCTGTTTTAATTCCTGCAAGATGTTAGAAATATTGATTTTTAGAAAAGAAATCAAGATCATGGGCCAGATATGAAGCTTTAATATTCTGCCAGTTTGCGACTCCTGCACTATATAATAAATGCATTTAACCACATAGTGTAATCAAATACCAAACAAATAGCCAGAATCTTTACGAGGCTATAAGGCTTGAAAAATAATTTAATGGTTATTATATTTAACAAAAGATGGTGGCCTGATGACCTGCCTCCTACCAAGTTGCTTAGTAATCATTTAGTCTTGAAATTATATTTGAAATTGCATTTATATTCCATGAGTTATAAAATGAGCTTATGATTTCTTTTTATATTTACTCAAATTTGATAATTAAGATAGAGTAACAAAAATGTGAGATAATCTTCCAGTTATTAAATTTCCTGTTAAGTCTTTTTTTCTTTGTTTCAATTATTATAAATATATAAAATTTGAAAATGAGCTGATATGTTTTAGTGTTAAAAGAATCANTGAAGGTAGGGATGGATTTTATAAAAAAAAAATTGTAAATGCTAATACAGTAGACCCCCTATAAAACGGGTTCATATATCATAGTTCGGATTCCTATATAATGGCGAAAAAATTGCGACAGTAATCGTATAATCACGCTAAAAGGAATCGTATAATTCAGTAAAACGTCATCGCCGACTCGTGGCGCGAGAGGATTGGTCGAATCTAGACCAATAGCAGATATTGTACAAACCGTTGAGTTTAAACGAGCAGCGGACCTACTAAAAACCATTTAGTATTTAACGTCTATAAAAATTATATTTATAGTAATGATGTCTCCAAAGTTCAGCGAATTTTTCGCAAAAAAATAATTTATCAGGAAGCACGCGAGCGCCATTCGATGACAATTTCCACGACGAAAACAAGCTTAAGCAATAGCGTCGTCGAACGGTGCACATTCGGTAAGTAATCCTACAATTTTTTGTTTATAGCATAGTTTATGTGTGGCCGGATGGCCGAGCGGTCAAGGTGGCAACCCACCGCTCTGGGGGACCCGGGCTCGAATCCGAACGGGTCGAAAAAATCCCCAGGAATCTTTCGGGGGGTGGTCCGTCCGTATATGTCGGACCTCGTCCCTCAACACCCGGCCGCCTCATTGTGGGCCTAGCCTAACCCATAATGGGCTTGTTAAAAAGAGACCCTCTTAATGCCCACAGGCGGAAAGAGTTAAAAAAAAAGTTTCTGTTTCTGTTATGAACTTGGTCAAACCCACGAAGGCACGATGAAAGGCCCTCGGTGCAGCGCGGAAGAAGTCATAAATGAAAAAAAAAAAAATTAAATATACTATTAGCAAACCGAATAAACATCAGTAATGGTGTTGACTTAGTAATATGGCCGCGTAAATTGAGTAACATTTTGTTTGAGATAAGTTTATTTATTGTTCATATATTGCATAACAATTTCTTTCGTTCATTATTTATAAGCAATGTCAAATAATTAAGATCGAGGATAAAAAAAGTGTTAACTTATTAACTTAATTAAGTAAATAAATTAAATGGTAATCTCCAGTGTACTTATGAGTTTTTTAAGGACGTTTAGAGGGTTTTTCCATTAGGGGAATGACCAGAGCAAGGCATCAACCTATCGCTCTGGGGTACACGGAATCGAATCCGGGCGAGCAAATCAGGAGTTTTTCATGAGCGATCTATTCGCATATGCCAGACCCCGTCCCTTAATATCTGGTCGACCCATTGTGGGCCTAGCCGAACCAATAATAGGCTTGCTCAAAAGATTCTCTAATGTCTTAGAGGAGCTTTTAAACAATTACCGTGATGATTCATTCCTATTTCTAAATGTCCTCTTAGTGCCGACATGTGAAAAAGAGGAAAAAAGTCTAGGAATCTAAAACACATTTTATATATTTTACGTTTCCGAATTAACATAAATAAAAATAATGCGCAAGTAAATATTTATATAATATAATATATCTTTTTCATTTTTATATAATTTTTATAATATATTATGTAATATTTTTAACTTTCACGAATGGCAACACTGATATTATTGTTGATAGGAACCGCATGCTGGGAATAAACACGGCGGATTTTGAAGCGTTGGATATTTTAGGTGATAATTTTGAAAATGGCCAACCGAGGAATTTCCAGTTTTCAGAAAAAAGTCAACCAAATAAAAGAAATTCCGGGGACCAAATTATCGTTGCAAAATATGCAACTTATTGTTTCGACAGGCGTTCCCACGTTAGATTACTTTCTCGGTAAATTTATCTAGAAATCTTATTTGTTTGGTTGGAGTTAAGGAAAGAATGTCTACTGCTTTTTTAATTGGTGGTGGTGGTAGTTCCGGGGCGATTCGGGATGGGAAAAGGCACATTATTCCACTTTGAAGTTTTGTCCACTGAGAAAGGGTTGGGACCCACCATTGGCCAAGCGATTCAGTTCCATGAACACTGGGAGTTCGGTCTAGTGTTGTCATCTTTTCAAAATCGCTGACCCGGACGGCAGGTGAGGTTTGTTCGAACAGAAGTGCCTGACGCATGCGTAATGTCATTTTGCAATGCGAAGAATAATGTGCAGTGCATGCCAGTTCTAAATCAGTTACAGTTAGGGACTAGGGAGACTAAATTAAGAAAAAACAACTACAGATGACTTAGCTCTATTGGATGTTGGAGACGTGTATGAATATGAATTGTACAAGCAAAAAAAAAAAAAAGGTTGACAGACAGTGAGTCAATTCCTGGACTGTCCGGGTGAAAACCGGACGGGTGGTAACACTAGTTCGGTCGTGGGTTTGTGCTTCGCCAGAATGGGCTAGCCTTGTTGGGCTTTCTCCACTTTTGTAATGTCTAAATAGGGGCCAGTTACCCTTAAAAAGACCTCCCGGAAGGCAGATTGCCCGTGTTGTGATGCCATAACTTAATAAAACAAAACGAGAAAGAAGTGAGGTGAGTGTTTCCGTGTTTTGTCTACCCCATTGATTCCCAAAGTTTTTGAGCCACCGCCTTCTTGGTTTCGTAAAGTGATACCCAATGTCCACAACCATACCCCAATGCCCCCTATTCCATTTTTACCTAGTGAGAAAGGCTTGGAAATATTCTTAGAAAAACTCTTCAGTGAAACTCACACTTTGTCCTTACTTTATATTGTTTTCCACATCTAGAAACCATTAAATGCAATGTTTCTTCTTACCTATTTTAAGAGGAAAGGGAACTGTTGTCAGTGACCCAACCTTTGCCCTATGGTCACTGTTCGATATCTTGGCTCCAGTGCTTGCTTTTTTTCACTACCCTAGATTTACTCACTACCCAAGGGGTATTAGTGCCCACTTTGGGAACTACTGGTCTAACCCACTTGACCATTCGTTGAGTACTTGGTATTACATAGTTGATTTATAGTTTTAATATATTAAAATTGTGTGGGGGAGCATGCCCCACCTGTGCACTGTGGTGTTAGCAACAGTGAACACTGAAGCACGTGATTACATACAGAGTACAGGTCAAACATCCCAAAGCTTCGATGCTCACTTTTGAATAGGGAGTGTGGAGAATAGGCAATAGTACTGGTTCATATAAAAGTGCCCTTCCCCACTCCAAATCGTCCTGACCACCACCACTTGTCACATTTTACATACTTACCCCCTAAGTAATAAAAAAAAAACAGGACACCCTTTCCTTAACTTGTACTATATATAATTTTATTATTGTATCTCATGTTTCGTAATGTATGCAATAAATTAATTATGTAATTCACATTTTAAGCAAAGTTTTATATTTTAATGCAGACCCTTAGAGCAAGGATGGGCAACCCGTGGCCTACATTCATATTTTATGCGACACGAGCCGCAGAAATATGAATAAATACAGTAGACCCCCCTATAATATGGTAGATACTTTTCATTATATATGAATTCGTGTTTTATGATCACTTAAATACATCAGCCAATCACAGCATGGCACGTATCAGTTTAGGGACTATGGCTGTTTGAAAGGTTTTCTTCCATAAAATTAATCGATTCTAGACTAATTTGGCTCAACATTTTCAAAACATGTATAATTTTTTGGGAATAAGCCACATAAACTATGCTATAAACAAAAAATTGTAGGATTACTTACTGAGTGTGCACCGTTTGACGACGCTATTGCTTAAGCTTGTTTTCGTCGTGGAGATTGTCATTGAATGGCGCTCGCGTGTTTCCTGATAAATTATTTTTTTTGCGAAAAATTCACTGAACTTTGGAGACATCATTAATATAAATATAATTTTTATGGACATTAAATAATAAATGGTTTTTAGTAGGTCCGCTGCTTGTTTAAACTCAATGGTTTGTACAATATCTGCTATTGGTCTAGATTCGACCAATCCTCTCGCACCACGAGTCAGCAATGACATTTTACCATATTATATGAGTTTCTTTTAGCGTGTTTATATGAATATGATCGCAATTTTTTCGCCGTTATATACGAATCTGTATTATATGAACCCATTTTATAGGGGGTGTCTATTGTATATCAATTTCCCAGCTTAAGGAAGAATGCAACAAAAATTCAAACATTATTTCTACAACTTATGTATGTGAATAGTTTTTTCACAATGAATTTAGTAAAAATGAAAACAAGAAACTGGCTAACAGACACATCAAAACTAATTTAAAACTAGCAGTGACTAATATTTAACCAAATATTTCCAATATATTATGTTTACATCATTTCCAGAAGCTAAATTAAGTATACATATGCTGATTTATAATTATATATGAATAAATAATTGTGATTTACCAGCATTTTTTTTCTCTTTTCTCTTGTATGTGGTCTGCGTCAGTTCAAAAGTTTTAAAATGCGGTCCTTACATAGAAAAAGGTTGCCTATCCCTGTTTTAGAGAATGAGGTAAGATGTGAATCTGGGGTCTAAGAAATGTCAAATGGTCCTGCTGGCTTAGTTAGGTTTGATAGAATATAGCAATGCAAGGGTGATTCCACATGGGAGGACTTTCTATGGGCCTATTTGGAAATGCTTATCGATTGGTTGATTGGTAGCACTGTAAGACATCAGTAGTTGGTTGGTCACTCTCTAACCCACTCAAAAGATCAATAAGTATGGTATCAACTGGTAAATCCCTGGAAACTTTATAGGTAATGATTTTGGATAATACCTGGTCTCAGCATTTGAAATGGTAAGCATTTCCAAACAGATCCGAGTGTTAGACAGATGAGGAAAAGTCAGAAAACTGCATATGGCAGCCCATTGGTCAAAAACAAACCCATGATCAGAACTGTAGTTTTATCCATTTGGCCATAGTGGACAGTGGTCCTGCTGGCAGTCTCTTCTGTCTGACTTATTCTAGTCTATTTACGAAATCTCACAGCTTAATAATTCAAGATATCTATAACAGTTTTACATCAAAAGTAATAAGCATAAATAAATTCCATATTTCAGATTTGTATGAAAGTCACTTATTTTTCTCATATCAGTGTTTATTAGTATAATATACTTAAAATCTAAAGTATCAAAAAATTTAAAATAGAGGAGGGTCACATTTTATTGGATTGGGTTAACAACAGCCCATTGTTCATAAAATTGTTTGAACTGTTTTGTAATTGAGGTAAAATTTTAATACATTTAAATGAGATTAGTTCTTTCAATATGAGAATTGGTCCCTATGATTTTGCAGTTTTTATAAAGAGTTATGGTTATTTTATAATTATTTTACATAAATAATTATAAATTAAAAAATTATAGAAATTTGATTTATCTTGATCTTGTGGCATCAACATTGGAGTCTCTGGTTCCCATATTGATGCTTTTTTGATAGCATTCATAATGGAGAGGCCTTAATGAGCCTGATTGAGGATTTTGATAATCAGACTCCTTGCTCTTCTTGGTTAAGAATTTCAACAAGGATATTTGCTGAGCCTTTATCTTTTTCTTTTCCAAAATGCTTCTTATGTTTAATAAAATTAATTGCCAGGACAGTAAGTATAAAAATTTTTTGTAATTTTTCCAAGTTTATGTTTCTTATGATTTTGGACCATTTATTATAGTTCTTTGGAAGGAACCTTCCAAAGAACTATAACTAGTATTCAGAACCTTCCAAAGAACTTATGAAACTAGTATTCAGAAAAGATTATGCAGTTTGTTTAATAAGAAATTATTCAAGAGAGTGTGAATCTCACACGAATTTATAAATATTATAATGTTATAAATATTTAAGAATTTACAATAACAAATATCATTTATTTAAAGGTGGTGGACTGACAGTTGGAACCATTCTACTTATAGGTGATTATTGAAATTAAAGTTTTATATTTAATTAAATTATATTTAATTTAAAGTTGATATAATTGTAAACTATAAATTTATAATTCTTTTTTCTTTCTTTGTATTTTAGAAGAAGATAAATATGGAAGATATGCAAAATTACTCATGAAACATTTTTTAGCAGAAGGTGTAACAAACAATCATTCAATTTTATTAGCATCTGGAGATGAATCTCCAAAAAAGATTTTGGAGGTATTGTATAATTATATTCCTCTTTTTATAATTTATTTGAGGGGAGTGTTAGCAAAGCCTCTTCTAAGTAGCATATAGAATTGAGTTTGTTTTCAAATTTGATTGGTCATTTTGATAAAAGTTTGCCATTTTACATTAAATGTGATGAATCCAAAAATGTGATAAAAAATGGGGGTTCATGACTTTGTTTTTGAGTGTAGTCAAAGTGACTGTTTGTGCTCACTGATGCTGTTGTGCATGTCTAATGGAAAATTGTTGCCCTAAACAAACAAAGCACAAGAACAAAGCAATTGATGCCAAGCAAATGTAAGGATCTCCTTTCCACAACAGCAAGGGCAGGGATCATCTCTCTGTCAGGCCAGTGCAAGGATTGCCTATCCATGACTGTCAGAGGTTAAAGTGACAATGTCCATGGTTGCTAGCACAAGTGCATGGAATTTGTTTCCTTTTTTATTCCAGTAGTTATTCCACTGCCATGGTAGCAGCAAGTGATTGCTGTAGATGGCCTCCAAAAATACCTCTGATCAAAAGTATTGGGAACGGTTCAATAAAACATAAGATTTAATTTATTCATCAAAATAATTTCCTCTCACAGCAATGCACTTATGCTACCATTTTTTCCAATTCTGGAAATATGCTTTAAAGTTGTTTTTGTGAAACTCCTTTAGGATTTTCAACAAATTTGGTTTTATGGTATCAGTTGACTCAAAATGGTGACCACAAAATGGAAATTTTAGTTGAGGTAACAAGAAAAAGTCACATAGCACCATATTGGTTGAATATGGAGTTTGTGGAACCATAATTTGTTGAATTTCTGGCCAAAAATTCATGAACAAGAGCATTGTGAGAAGGTGCATTATTGTGATTTAAAATCCACGAGTTTTCTCGTTACGGATTGGGTTATTTTCTATGAATTGCTTCATGCAAATGAAACAAAATGCTCAAATAATATTCTTTGTTGACAGTTTGGCCAGTTAGAAGGAATTCATGATTCACAACACCATGTCAATCGAAGAAAACAGTCAATATGACCTTGATTTTTGACTCAAGTCAGAACTTTGACATGATCTTTTCAATCTTGCTTCACCTTTTGAGTCCTGTTTCAGTTTCAAAAGCATAGATCTATGTTTTATCACCCATAATGATGCATTTTAAGAATGATTTGTCTAGAGAAAGCATTTCCTCACCACTTGAACACATTGTGTTTGGAAAAAAGTCAACATTTTCAGAATTACTTGAGAAGTGACACACTGCAAGCCGAAATGATCTTTTAAAATTGCTTGATAAGATCCAAATGATACTGGAACATATTCAATAATGCCCCTAATTGTTAAATTAAGACAATTGAACACCAAATCTCTGACTTGAGTGATGTGTCATTCATCAGTCAAAGTGGATGGTCTACCAGTGTGTTGAAACATCTTGTAAGTCTTGTTTTTGATAGATTGTTGTCACCAAAGGCTTTTGCAACATTTCCAATATTTTTGTAGCAGTAATTCTATTGCAAAAACCAAAATTTAATGCATGTTCTTTGCTCATTTACACTTGACATTTTGAAAAATTGGCAGTGCAAAAATTCTTTATGCACAAAACAAGTGTTTATTTGCAAACAAAAGCAGACGATGCCATACAGATTTCTGTTAGATGTTGATGAAATTTGTACCAAACAACGACAGTGCTCTCTTGCATGTGCACAGTTTAAATGAACCATTCCCAGTACTTTTTAATCACAGTAATATTATTGACTTGCTAGTGCTTCAACTCAATTCTTAGTTTGTGTTTAAACAGAAAAAAAACTGTGCCTAGTAAAATATAATTTTCTGTGAATTAGATAAAATTTTAATTAACTGAAGTTTATTTTCATATACAGTCAATTTAAGTTTTGTTTGCAAGAATGCCATTTTGTTATGGAAATGCTGGTTTGTTAGTTTAGATGACTTACAGTAAATTTCTGAGCATATGTTTTTGTTGTATTACTTTTAATGACTTGATGTATAATAAGAAATATTTTTAGGACCTTCCTTCTCTTATTACTCAGAAGAAAGACAGTAATGCATCAGAATCAGTGTATGAAAATGAGATGAAAATTGCTTGGCGATATCAGAATTTACCCCAGTTTGGAAAGGTAATTTTTATAAAATCACTAACTTCTAAACAATAATTCTTGAATTATATAAAATTATCTTCAGACTAGAGATTAAATAAAAATATACAAATTTATTAAAATCAAAATTAACCATGAATAATTCATTACACACATTGGTTATTAAGTTTTCATACTTCTTCAAAAATATAATAATCTGATTAATAAGAATATATTAATAATTAGAATTTTTATTGAAAAAGAAATATGAAAAATATTCATTAGAAAATTAAAATTCTAACATTTTTAGATTTATAATGAAGCTAAATACAGTTGAACTTCCAATAATGGCCACCTGCCAACAACAGTCCCTTCTAAACAACAGCCATTTTATATATTTCTGTCAGTGGTTCTCATTCAGAGGTTTGACTGTACATTTAATTTAACCTTTTGTCAGATGCAATCTGTATTTTAAAACAAGCAGGTGAAACCTGTCCAGGGGACAGACAGTTTTTGCTTCGAGATTAAATATTTACTCTAATTTTTCTTCATTATTATACATTATAATTATTTATTTGAAAAGATAGTACTGTATATACACAAAAACAATACATATAATAAGGAAAATAGGGGAAAAATATATAACATATCACTACTTTGAGCACTATTTTAGTCTTTGGAACCACATTTCAATTCATTTTTATGATTACTTTCTAAAATTTTTTTGTGCTTAGATTGCTTTTATTTTCATCATGTATAGTAGTATTGGCATTTTGCTTCTACTCTTCTGAATGATCTTGAAGAATTCAAGGCATATTTTGTAGTAAGATGAACATATAAAAATATTCTACTTGCAATTGAAAGAGTAAAATTTGCATAGATCAGTAGTAAAAATGAACCAATCTTTTCCTTAGTAAAAAATACAAAAACATAACATAATAGTTGTAACATATAATTTATCAATTATCTATAATACAAAATAAATGTTTGCTTTTATTCAAAAATAAATACAGTGGAACCTTGCTTAATGAGTAATTTGCATAACAACAATTTGTTATGCAAATTATAACAAATTATAATATAAACAAATTAAAATATACAACACATACACTATATAACTTATAAATATAATTGTAAGATTTCATTAGGTAGAAACTCGTGATTAAAATTATCTAAGAGAAATTTAAATTACTTGAAATTGTTTTTAATTTATAATTTTTAAAATTATTTTTTCATTAAAATTTATTTTAGTCTTCTACTGGTCATCAGTTCTGTAATCAGTACAACATCAATACAAAAATGAATCATGAAGTAATATCAAAGTGTTCTCCGACAACAATAGATATCTCTTCTGAAAATGAATCGCCACCTGAAGATAATTCTCAGTTTTTAACAGCTTCCTGTTTCAAAATAGCAAATCGCCTTCAAACAATGATAAAAGATGGATTATTTAGTACATCTCAGTCGTGTTCACAAAGAAACATATTAAGGATAGCAATACATTCATTAGGATCACCATATTGGAAAGAAGAGTACTCGAAAGAAAGATGGGAAACTGATATACTTAGATTTCTCTATTTATTAAAAAGTATGATGAGATCGGCATTTTCAGTCGCTGTTATCAGTGTTCCAGTTAATTTACTTCAAGTAGGTATTTTCCTTTTATTTAAAAAATGTATTGAATTTATTTCAGATTAATTTGGTTTAAAATTTTATTAGAACCATGTTTTGTTGGAAAGGATGCGACTTATATGCGATACTGTGATAAGGTTAGAGGGATTTGATTCCGCAGAAGGTGAAATTCATCCTGCTTTTAAAGATTATAAGGGTAATTATTGCATTTGATACTTTTTACATGTACTAAAGTATTTAAATATAAAATTTTATACATAAATACATAAATATTTCTTCTATTGAATTCTTCATGATATTGTTCTTATGGTAATTTTAAGTAATCCAAAAGCTGTTATTCTTACATCAATGTTTTCTACATTAAAGTCCATAGCACTGGTTAGTCTTTCTTCATTAAAGCATATTAAATTGGTCCAATAGATTTTGATGTAATTTTATAAGGTTAACATTATTGACATATTTAATACATTTTTAAAAGATTCAAATGTTTTATTGAAGGAAAAGAAATCAAGTAAATTGAAGAACTTATTCATAGAAAAAATTTCACATATGATAAAGAAAAGATAAAATAGTTGATAAGAATTCAGAAAATATAGTAAAACCTGCTGAAAATGGAAACTTGTCATACCAGAAAAAGTATTCAGTACCATGTGATTCTGGTTTACATAAGTTTTACTGTACACAGAAAGTAAAGATTGTGTAAACAAAGGTTTAGAAATTCTTATCAAGAGAAAAGTAAATTTTTATTAAAAGATTATTGAAAGATGGGGAAAGTTTGGGAGACATAAGGAATAAAAATAGGATACAGAAGGTACCCCTCCCCATGCCTGGACAGCCATGGTTGCAGATCATTTATTACATGTAAAATTTTGACTAATAAGAATAATAATTAAACATTTTTTGATAATTATTAATCTTTTAGACAAACAATATAGATATAAAAATAAACACTGTATATAAATTCTTAAATAATAATAAATTAATAAAGGTGACAATATTTTTTGCATCTGGGCAACCAACTACATAGGCTAATATTTCAACAGTTTTGCAAAGGATTTCTTCTATATTCATAATTTTCCTTATAATTTGGCTGTGATAACTTCCCAGTAATACTTCCTGATTATGCTTGGAAAAAAATGAGAGTTCTGGAAAAGAATTCTCAAGGATTTTACTTCATAAGTAGTAGGAATGTAACAGACACTTGGTACATGTGCTTGGTCGAGTGGCCAGTGCTGCAAAGCTATTATTCGTGGGATTATGACTGAACACCCCTAAGGCAGAAGCCCCCTAGCAGCGGAAACAGTAGTCATTGTGAGAGTACGAGTACGAGAAGAACCACAGGTTCAGACACTTTGTTATTTGGTCACTTGTTGCTAGGATGTTGGCAAGTGCAAAGCAAGAAGAACGAACGCAAGCCCCAAAATAGATTTGAACCTTGGGTACGGACTCTTGGGTGTTGACCACATTAAACTTGTGCTTGGCTAAGATTCCCATTAGCCGTAACAAGGAGGATTTTTATCATATTTATTAAGATTTGATCTTAGTGTAAGAAATTTAAACTATCAATTTCATAGATTTGGGGAGAGAAAGAAATGTAGGCCAAAGTTTTTAAAAATTGTTTTAGGATTAGGAACCCATTAAAAACAATGAAAAGAATACTTATAAAGCAACATATACAAAATAGAGCTTAAATAAATGGTTTAAAATCTTATAGGTAATCTAATTACACTGTAGAAACTCTCTTCTATTTTTTTTGTTATATGTTAATAGAATAATACAGATTACCAGCAGTAAGAAAGTTAGAATCATTAATGTTAAATATTCTACATATGTTAATGATTGATTTTCTAATGTTTGATAATTATTCAGCACTGCTAATTCTCTTAAATTTTAAGCTAGGTAATGTGTTAATAATATTGCAAATAATAATACTAAAGTAAAAAAGTAGGATAAAGAAGTTAATATACTTTCTGGATTATACATACATACATACCATTTGTGCTTGTCATGAGTGTGGAATAAATGTATTCCACACTCATGACAAGCAAGGATTGTTTGGTTTATTTAGTTAAGGGCTAAAAGTGATATATCATTCCTTTGGTTATGGTAATGTGACACGTGCAATCTGCCAAGGGAGATGTTTCCGGGAGGTCTTTTATGGGGAACTGGTCCCTATTTAAGTGTTATAAATGTGAAGAAAATCCAGAAAACTCCAAGTGGCCAGCCTGTTGACAAGGCACGATCCCTTGACCAACTACCTGTTCAGTGAATTTATCCACTCAGCCACTGGTGGGTGATGAGCAAGGAACAATAGAATATCAACTAGCAAATTTTATCTAATAACAAAGTATAAATAAATAATGCTACAAAATTGTTTTATGAAATTATTTTTTCATCATGTTTTGACAAGCAAGATGTATTGACTATAACACTGAAAATGACAAACATGAGAGATCTAGGAAGAGAATAAAGCAGAAAAAATTGGGTTATTACAGTACATGTCATTAGAAAATAACACTTCAAATAAATTTTATGGCAGAATTAATATGTAATGCTTTAGCATGTGTATAGAATAATTGATATAAAACTGCCAAAGCATGTTCTGTTTAGTTTCATATTAATGTAATGAAGAGGAGGAAGACCTATATGAAAACAAATGAGGGACATTAATACAAAATTAGATATGAAAACAGTTAGTTGGTTTGGTTAATTATTGTTTAGTGTGGAGACATTTAAGAGGTGAGAAAATTCATATAATGAGATATTATGTCAAAAATATCTTGCTTGAAATTATAAACAGTGTGATCATAAAATCACTTCACAGTAGGTGAGGAAAGGGGAGAAGCTTCCAGGAACAAAGTAATGAAGTCACAGGCTACTGGGCATGAGTGACTTTATGATTACACTATGTCAAATTCAAACACAGTAAATCAAGATGCAGGTCCTATTCAATATTATTTGGTAAACCAAAGCATTCTGTAATTAAAAAAAAAGGCTCTAACAAAGATCTTCTTGTAGCCAGGCTTTTATGACTTAGGCAAACAGTTAGACATTTGAATTTTTTCTGTTTTAATTCCTGCAAGATGTTAGAAATATTGATTTTTAGAAAAGAAATCAAGATCATGGGCCAGATATGAAGCTTTAATATTCTGCCAGTTTGCGACTCCTGCACTATATAATAAATGCATTTAACCACATAGTGTAATCAAATACCAAACAAATAGCCAGAATCTTTACGAGGCTATAAGGCTTGAAAAATAATTTAATGGTTATTATATTTAACAAAAGATGGTGGCCTGATGACCTGCCTCCTACCAAGTTGCTTAGTAATCATTTAGTCTTGAAATTATATTTGAAATTGCATTTATATTCCATGAGTTATAAAATGAGCTTATGATTTCTTTTTATATTTACTCAAATTTGATAATTAAGATAGAGTAACAAAAATGTGAGATAATCTTCCAGTTATTAAATTTCCTGTTAAGTCTTTTTTTCTTTGTTTCAATTATTATAAATATATAAAATTTGAAAATGAGCTGATATGTTTTAGTGTTAAAAGAATCAATGCAAAATAGTTTATATATTTTTAACTTAATTATAATTTTGAAAAATGTTTCTTTAAATCTTTAAATTTTCAAATGATTATTGTTTTAAACTCTCCATAAATTATATATAATTTTTTATTAATAATTTTTACTGAAATATGATAAAATTTAGTATTTATGAGGTTTACTATTTCAAAATAAATCTCATAAAGTTTCAATATTGATAACCAGATGGACGAGTGGTTAAGGTGTCGGTCTACTACTATCATGTGGGATCAAATCCGAAAGTCGATCAGTTGAAAAATCCTGGGAATTTTTCGGGAGTGGGTCTGTTTTGGATATTTTGGACTCCTTCTCTTACCACCTGGCTTTTCCAGTTGTGGGTCTTGCTGAACTCACAATGGGTACAATTCATTTTTGATTCTTTCTAACCTGTGGGTCTCTTAGTGCACATAGTGTGGAAAGAATCAAAAGTGAAAACATGTTTCAATATTTTACAAAATATCTGGACAGTTATGGCCAATTTGAATTATCAAATTCATATTCTGTCTAATATACACAGGGAGTCTGATATTAAAGGTACAGGTCAAAATTACACTAACATTTATAAATAAAGAAAATATTTAATACATTCCACAAAAACTACATACTTTTGTGACATAATCGCCTTGAACGTTGAGATATTTATCCCAGATGAAATCCGTTTAGACATCCCTTCATGGTATTGTTGCTTGAAGTAGTCCAGAATGGTATCTTCCAATTCTTCCTGATCTGCAAAGCGTTTTCCCACCAAAAATTTCTTTAAAGGTCTGAATAAATGAAAATTCGACAGGGGCTAAATTTGGACTATACAGAGGATGTTGCAGGACTTCCCAGTTCCACTGTCCCAACCACAGTTTGGTTTGATTTGACATGTGGAGTATAGTCCAGATTTAGCCCCCTCAGATTTTCATTTATTCAAACTTTTAAAGAAATTTTTGGTGGGAAAATGCTTTGCAGATCAAGAGGAATTGGAAGACACTGTTCTGGACTATTTCAAGCAACTAGACAGTACTTGAAGGGATGTTCAAACTAGTGTCATGCTGGGGTAAATGTCTCAACATTTAAGGTGATTATGTCGAGAAATAAATAAAAGTATGTAGTTTTTGTAGAATGTATTAAATATTTTTTTTATTTATAAATGTTAGTGTAATTTTGGCCTGTATCTTTAATATCGGACTTCCCTCGTATATTTATTTTATATTATATATGTTTGTGTTGAGCAATTTGTTATAAATCTCTGATACTTGTATTATTTGTTATTGAATACATTTTTTGATATTTTTAATGTATTAATTATAATGTTTAAAATAGGTCTTCTACATGTGGTCAAAGTACATCACTTAAATTTATTAAAACCTCACAAATTAGACACTGATGATTTGGCTTTTTGTTTCCGGAAAAGGAGTTTAATATTTGAGGTAAAATTTATGTATATTATTTTTTACATTTAATAATAATTGAAATATATATGAAAATAATAATATTTAATAAAAATAAAACATAAATCTTTAATTGTGAACACAAGAAAAACTTAAGAATTGATTTGTTTGAACTTCAAACATTGTTTTTTAAAAAACATTTATGCGACAAATGTGATTTATCAGGCCATTCACAGTACAATCATGCACATGTTAATAAAAGGTACTTATTATTCAAATATTTTTGAGTTTAAAAATATTTTTATTGAAAAGAAATGAATGGTATTAATACATTTTTGAAACTTCCATAAGAATTTCCAAAATTAACAATAGAAGATTCTCTAGTAAAAAATCTTTACTTTTAATAGTTTCTTTACAAAGTATTTGTAAATTAATAAATTATTAAAGAGAATGTTTGGTGATTACATATCTATTTTAAAAATATTAAATTCATTGTATGACCAAATGATTGCCTGATTATATTGGGATGTAGGTGTCATCTCTTGATAAATTTAAAAATTATAATTATAATTAATTTAGAAAGCTCTGGAAGAAAAGAATTGGTCTGAAGTGGAACTCAAACCTGAAACTCCTGCTTACCATATAGTTGGCTATTGCTTTACCCTGGCATGACATATATATACAAATATAAACATTTAATGACCCAGTTATTAGTGATTGCCTGATTATATTGAGCTATATTAATGCTACTATTAATAATTAAATATTAAGCAATTGGCCTAGAGGTAGGAATTAGTTCTGGAAGCAAAGATCAGACAGAGGTCTGGGTAGTGTAACTGGCAATGCAACCACATGGTACAAGGTAGGGGCCAAAAGTTTCCAGCTTATGTTTTAGATATTATAGGTATAAAACAATGACATCATTTTTCAACATAGTCTCCTTGCAGTTCAATACATTTATTATATCTTAGAATTAGTGTTTCAATACCTTTGAAAAAAATGGTCTGCAGTTTTGTCTGCAAGATGCTCAAAAACTGTCTCCTGCAACTCTTCATCACTTTTTTGAGTTTCAGTCACTAGGATAATCACTAGGAGCCTGGTCCAGACTGATGGTCAAGCTCCTCGAACCCATACTCCTTCATAGCAGCCTTGGCAATGGCATCCTTGTGTACTGGTGCATTGTCTTGCAAGAGGCAAACATGATGCAAATTAATGCAATAAGTCTAATTAAAATGAATAATTTTCCAAGCAATTTATGAAAATTGTCAAGAAAAATTGTTTTATGAGTACATAAGTACATACAGATGGTGCTATCTGATACTATCATTATTTTATTCCTATCATGTCTAAAATGTTAGGTCCAGAAACTTTTGGCACTTACTATGTAAGCAGGAGTTGTGGGTTCAAGTCCCACTTTATAAGATTCTGGAAGAAAAAAATTGGTCCAATTTAAATTAATAAATTTATTGATAGATGATGCCTAATGCCTACTTCTAGGCCAAATTATTTAATATTTAATTATCAACAGTAGCATTAATATAACTCAATGTAATACAGCAATTGTTTAGCTTTAAACTAATAATCATGTTTTTAGATGTTTATATTTGTGTCATTATACGATTTTGGAATTTCAAGAAATGCCATTTTGCATTTTTAAAATCAATGTCAATCTTATAATTTTAATTACTGTTAACAGAATATAATTTACAGATATATTGAAGATAAAAAAAAAATTAAATATTTATCTGCTTTGGATATGCATTATTATAAGACAAGTGTGTTTATTTTCAGAATTAGTAATTGAAAATTTATACTAGCTAATTAATTTGATGAAAAATTATTTCTTCCCAAAGCACTGCCAAAAATTTTATCAATATATGTATGAAAACAAAATAAAATTTATACAAGTATTAATGCAGCCTTCAAAATCTGATTTGAGTTTCCCAATTGGGTTATTTTCTGCAGTAGTTACTGTCATTTTTTTCCTCTTTTGTGCAATGTGGCTAAGTGCTTTCCCCTTCTGTCAATTTAAACAGGTAGCCATTGAAGGATCAAAGATGGCACTCAAAGATGGCTTGGAGGATAAGATTGTTAGGTACTTTTCAAATGAATTCTTCTACCAAAATTTAAATGCATCCCTTAGTAACCCTCATGATGACTATGCAGCAGTCTTTATTGTAGTACTGTCATGTTGTAATTGTTATTTTGTATGTCCTCTATCCTTTAATTTTCCTTGCAGACTGACCATGCCAGACTGACTAATCATACTTTTGCACTCAGGTAATTTAGAAAATGCAAACCTTACTACCATGATAGGGTGTAACTCGCAAGAGGGGTAAAAATTTGATATTACTAAGTTTTGAAAGCATGATTATTTGTGAGTAAAATTTCTCTTTTGTATTTGATATTCTCCATTTCCATGATGGACATGAAAAAAAGCTTTGATTCCTGCAGAGTGGATGGATAGTCACAAATATCAGGACTTTGTTTCTGAGATGTTCAGATTATATGATTCTGTATACTGTATGCAGAAAAATGTAATAAAATTTGACCCAGATTTCATTGTCTTGTTTGGGGGCTATATTTTATTTTATATTATGCAATCTAAATATCCAATTTTTAGCATTAATTAAAATGTAAAGCTTGTTTTTTTGTGCAATATATATTTTATTCTAGTAAATATTAATTACATTTGTTTATAGAAATTTCATCTTCCTCCTCTGCTTGAAGAGGCAGCAAGTCGCAGCCAAGATACAAACATTAATAAACTTCAACTGGGTTGTAGTAAAAACATCAAAGGAAGAAATATTGAATTCTGATAATGTACAGAATTGAATGTTTGTAAGAAAAATTTTATTATATTTTATAGAATGTTTATTTATTTATCATATGCACATTATGAATAAATTTGTAAATTTATTATCTGTTTTCAGTTATATTAGTCTTAAAAACTACAATAAATATAATTTTATCAAAGTAAACATTAAATAAGATGCAAAATATATTTAATTTTGGTTCACTTTGAATAATTTAAATTCTGAATTATGTTCTCTATAGTGCCTTTGGAAATGTAATAAGTAGCAGTGTAATTAATATAAATTTAAAATAGCGAGGTTGAGGCTGAAGATTTAAACGTAAAAACGTGTACATTGGACATTTAATGCCGCTTTCCTGTAAGCATAGAAGTTTGACAATGGCGTTTGGAATGTCAAGTGTGATTCCACTGACTATCCAAACACTTCTAGGCTTACAGGAAAGCAGCACTAAACATCTGATGTACACATTTTCGTGTTTAAAACTTTGGCCTTAACCTCACTAATAACTTTAATCCTCAAACTTAGGTTTATCATCCCTACTCTAGAATTGTCTAGCACACAAAATAAGGTTATAATACAATACAATTTTGTTTGTTTATATGTTGAGCTCAATTTATTGACACACACTTTTTGCAATTCATGCTAATTAAAGTATTTGCCACAGATAAATTATTTGAAAGATAATTATGCTATGTGGAACATAGACTCTAAACAGGGATGACAAATGTTTTGAATAGAAAAGATTTTTCATTGACTATTTTTTTAATATTCAATGCTTTCATATTTTTAAAACATGAAAAATCTAATGTATTGCTTCTAAACTGTTAATTGTTTATTATATAATACAGGATCACTAACCCCTAGACTACCAATTGATCACACTAAGCCCAATTCTGGAAATTTCTTGACAAACTATCCAAGAGTTTTATCTTTTGGTTGAAAAGGTAGTTTTAAATTTTTAATGTATGTAATTTTAGTCAACATTGCATGCTGTTTGGAGATCTGAATGGATATGTTAGTAGCTTTGATACTAATATCTGTAAAAATACCAGTTGATAAGGGCTATAGAAAGCCAAAATGCATTCCAATTATGAACTTTTGGAAAGTTTGTCAGGATTGATCGAACTGGAAATTTATCAAATGACCAGAGTTAGGGTTAGGAGACCTTACAAGATGTCTGTCACAGATCTGAATAATAATGTGTCTCAATACGACCCTTTATTAAGGGAGAGTGTACTTCTCAAGTGTTTGAGGATTTCTCAATGTCTTATAAGCAAGTTTTACAAGCTTCATTTATTGGATGTTTTGTGGCTTGGCACTATTGTTTCTCTTTTTATGTTCTTAAGGTTGTGGGATCAGATCATGGTGACAGAATATTTCCCCCTCCAAATAAGTGTGAAATTTTTACATAAATTAAATAATTAAAAATTACACATGCTTATTTACCTACTGCTTATTCTGAAACCGTGTCTTTTTTTATTTGTTTTTTTCTGTCACAACTAGGTGCATAGATAGACACTGGGCATCTTAGACATCACTCTTTATTCAGGAATACCTTGTGGGCTGATATGCATTCTGGGCATATGCCCCTCTTCTATCAGCTTTACTTTTGAAATAACTTGTAACGAGGTGCTAACAAATATACATCTTGCTTAAAAACAACATTAGTTACAGTTAAAATTTTCTGGCATCACCCTCAACAGCACTTAGTTCATACTTGTGATGTCCATGTTTACCAGGTTCTTCTAGTAGAAAAGCCTGGAAAAGGATTAAAAGGAAATAAAAAATGTGTAATATCTAAAGTAACAGAATACAATAGTCAGCATATTAAATAATCAGTTGTATTTAATGTGTATTGTGATACAACAGCAATTCATAACTGTACACGAATCCCGTACTGTATTATAAACTTTGTAAAAAAGGAGTTACGTACACAAAATGAACATACGAAAATATAAATGAATTTTAAGTTTTTTCCAATATAATTGGATTTAAAATGAGTTAATTAACAAATGAAAAACTACTACGAGACAAAGACATGTTTTTCCTTTGGAATTTCACAGTCGACAAGGCATTCTAAGACATACTAAACTATGACATGATTTACATCACAATATCACAAATATTTATGAAAATGTATTAAAAATACAAGATGACTCTGAATTTTCATTTTTTTTTAGTTAAGTGAATCTGCAATTGTACAAAATCAATGTGATGATTTTTTAAAACCATGTAAGGAATGATGAGAGTCTGTTTCTGGACATTGGCACATAGTGCCAATATGAGAATGTAGGCACCTAATTGGTTTGTTTCCAGATCCACTAGTAGGAATGAGATCAGTTTGCAAGAATTATTAAACTCTGAAAGATAATATTTAAAAATTAATTTCAATAATTTTTAAATATTCCCATTTGTAGTAAGAAAACTTTAAATACAAACCTGGTGAATACTGATCAGCCATTCACTGATGAATTCTCATCAATATCTTGTGTGGTTTCTGCAAAGTATTGCATCTAAATGTATAAATTTGGTTGTGTGTTAAATTCTCAGATATTATACATATATATTATTTTTCAAATCCTAAGCTTTTAAGATCATTTAAAAGAAGCATTTTTTGTATTAATAGTTCAAATCTTTAATGTTATAAAAACATTTTCTTACCTCGAGATCAATGCCATTTGTACCTAAAATCTCTGAGTCTGTATTAGTTTGAGAATCCATTGTCCTACATCCATTCATTAAATTATATTCATCATTTTTTAATGAACCAGAATGGAATCTTCCACCTTCTCCTCGTATTCTATTCATGGCATGCTTATGTCGAGATTCGTGAAGATATTTCTAAGAACAATTGGGTTTTTATAAGTAAAATAATTTAGAATCATTTCATAAATTACAATAGTAATAGTTTGTATACTTTTCTTTCTTTGGGAATCCTTCCGTTGGCTTCCAGTTTGGCCCTTGCCTGTCGTCTTTTTAAAATTCGATGATACTGTTTGGCATTTACATATAAAGGTTCTTCTTCCATCAGTTCGGCTCCCGCAGGTATCGGTAATCTTGGCATTGTCTGAAGTCCAGTTCCATTGCCGTTGCCTGGCATCACCTGCTAGGAGCAAAAATATTTTATTGGAAAAATGCAGTAAAATATAGAAGTGAAATAAACTAAGGTATAACCAAAATTTATTAAAATATGTTTAAAAAATAAAATTAAGAATTTTTCTATATACAGATGTTTGCAAATAATAGTTATAATTCCTGCAATTAATTTTCCTAATTATCTAGTGAAATTACAAAGACCATTATTTAAATAACTTTTCTGCAATTGTTTATATGATTAAACTTTATAAAAGTTTAAAGCAAATATAAATAAAGTAATTTTAATATTTTATAATATATTTTTAAAAATCAGATTTATGTATAATAAACTGGTAGAGGATGACAAAATAATCAACTAATACTTTGAAACTTTTTAATTTTTTAATATGAATATGAGAGGAAATTCATAGTTTGTATTAACTATTTTAAAAATTAAGAACTAGTTTTCTTCAAATCTCTGGTGTTCATCGACATTCTGTGTTGTTTAGTAATATTGCATCGAGCTTTTAAGTTGAAGACAAATTTTGATTTCATGTTTAGACACAATAAAATCTTAATTTAATGGATTAATTTGAATGAGGAATTTCTATTACAGCTAAAAGTCTGGTATATAATAAAGTAGTTTTGCTGAATGCACATGATAAACTAATTAGTTTATCAATATTTTATTTGTTTTGCTTATGTAGATACTTAAAATTTCTATACATAGATTTGCATAATTAAAATTAATTTCACAAAAAGGTTTTCTACGTGGTCTGTTCAAAAAGTATCGGACCTTTTTTTTCCCGCGTAAACCAATGATGCGCGAGAGGCCTCCTTCGGTGGAGTTGTGGAGGGGACAGTCATGCACAGCCCTGAAATTTTTCCCGCCTGCAGGAAGCGTCAGTCGTTGGCAATCGGCGTATGAGTGAGGTCATGTAGTGCACTCGTCAGATTCCACTAAGCTGGAAAATGACTGAACAACGTGAGCAGCAATATTACATCAAATTTTGCCAAAAACCTTGGCGATACCCGAGTGTAAACCATTTGCAAGATTCAGCAGGCTTTCGGGGACGATCCTTGAGGCCAAAAAAAGCGCGGCAGGTCCGCAGCAATATCAAAGGTCATGTTGACAGTTTTTTCAACTGTCGTGGGGTGGTGTGTCATGAGTACGCACCACAAGGCCAAACCATCGCAAAGGAGTACTACCAGGAGGTCCTTCGTCGTCTTTCTGATACAGTGCGACGCAAACGACGGGATCTGTGGTCGATCAAAACTTGGCAGCTCCATTGTGATAACGCATCTGCCCATTCTGCGCATCTGATTCGGGCTTTCGTCGCCAAACACAATACTCCTGTGGTTCGTCATGCTCCGTACTCTCCCCACATGGCTCCGTGTGACTTTTGGCTATTTCCCAAGCTGAAAATGCCTCTAAAAGGAACCCGAATTTAGTCGAGAGAAGACATCGTGCGGAATCCGACAGACCGGCTGATGGCCATTCCAAAAGATGCGTTCCAGCAGTGTTTCCAGCAATGGCAGGAACGCTGGGAGAAGTGTATACATTACCAAGGAGACTACTTTGAAGGGGATTAGGGTTTTGTACCTCAAAGTCAATAAATTTATTTTTGCCGACCAAAGGTCCGATACTTTTTGAACACACCACGTATATGTATCATTGCTTATATACTCACCATAATTCTGTAATAAACAATTATACAATCTAAATTGAAAAAAATAAAAAGAAAACAAAATTTAAATTTAGAAAATTTTTTGTATTTTTGTCATTATTTGTCTTTGGATGACAATAATATATTATCATCCAAATTTCCATTCTGACATAAAGTTAAGATTGTTGAGTCTTGGATTTGAAAAAAAATAAAATGCATTTCAAAATTAACATGTTATATGTAATTAACAGGTGTTAATTTTCAGGTAGTGTGAACTGGGCTTAAAGTTACTTGAAGTATATTTCTGAGTTAATATTGATATTCAATGGATGTAATCTGGGTTAATGTTATGTCAAATTTGGCTTTGTGACATCATTTTGTCTGAACCGACCAGAAATTTTGTCTGTTAAATGGAGGTTTTATGATACTATAACATAACTATAAAATTCAAGAGAAATTATTTTATGTCGTAATTTCACTTGCATTTTATAAAGTATTATATTTTACAGCATATAAGACACAACTTTTGTCAAAAAAACCCCCATCTTTTATGTAACATTGCAATCTGCTATGGACTAACAAACTCTCCAATTAGCCTTCAATAGGCTAAAGTATAACTTCTAGCTAGCTCAGCTCTTGAATAAAAATGTTATGTTTAATTGGGCTGCAATTAGAAAAAATTATAGACCTATAAGTTTCCATTTTTGTCCATCTGTCCATCCATTATCTGTCCTTCCTTAATTTCGAGAAAGGAGTTAGATAAATAAATGTAGAGACCAGATATGGAAAGCTTAGTAAGAGGAGATCCTGATTAACTATATACAAACTTCTGATGCAAACAGAAAATCAAATTATTTCAATTAAAAACTTTTCCCTGAAAGGAGTTATCTAGATGACTGGCACAACTTGATTGCTAAAGGAAAAGTATGATGTACATAGGCAAGACACTACTAATATTTTAAATTAAATAAAAATATAATTAAAAATTGCAGCCCAGCATTGTGATGTCACAATAAATAACTGCTTGTTAAACATTATTATTTGTTATACCTAAGCTGCTTTTGCATGTATTTATGTAGAGTATTTTAATTGTAAATTACTTTTTGAAACTCTTATTTATCTGGGAATTTTACTATTTTTAAAATCAGATTATAGTAAAAAGAATTTGGGTCAAGTGCCAAGGACACAGGATGGTTTAAAATACAGTAAATAAATTTTTCCCTAAATATTCTTTGCTGAAAGGAGGTGCATCTTAAATGTTGAATTTCACTTTCAAAGTGAGATATATATTAGTTTAGAATTATTGAAATTTATACCAAAAAATATAACATTTATTGAAATATGCATTTAAATTATCAGATTAAATTATATTAAAATTTTTCAGGACTAGATATGATGGATAGATTTATACTAAATTTTAATTTTAATAATATTTAAAATAATATGAAATATTACCATAACAATATTTCCTCCCTGAACACCCACAGAAGAAGGAATTGTTATCGACTGTGGACTTGGACTTGTTGCGGTCGACTGTACCATTTGTGGTGCAGCAGAAGGATTTCCGGTTGTGATAGGCGTGGTCGGAATTTGAATTATACCTAGTGTAAAAATATTTATTAATTAGATAAAAGTAATCGATTGTTAATTAAAAACTTATAAGTTAAACTTGTACCATTCTGAGCTTGAACGAAATTTGTGCCATCAATTGAAATAGGTTGACAAACTAAAGTCTGTCCATCTGAAGTTTGGAATATTTGACTTTGTTGAGGCTGTTGAATAATAAACTAACATACAGATAACATAAAAAAAAAGATAGATGTTTGTTAATATGATATTGTTTTACAAAATGTTGAATTATAAATATTTATGACAATGGAATACCTGTTGTGGCTGACCTTGTTGACCTTGAAGCTGCCCTATAGGTATTACTTGTATCTAATGTAATTTAGTTGTTGTTAATAATAAAAGTTTTGAAAATATTATATTGATGTAAACAAATAGTGATGTTAACAATACCTGTTGAATCTGTGGACCCGACTGTCCTTGTAACTGTATTGTGTGACCTTGAGGAAGAGCTTGTACCATGATCTGTTGTCCAGGCACTAATTGAGCTTGACCTGCACTTTGTGGTACCTGTATGACCTGAATTAGTAAACATGTGGATTTATTAAAAGTGATAATTCGAGTCTGTCTGTTACTGACATCATAAATTTTATTACCTGCGGCTGCTGTGAGACATGTTGACCCGGCAGCTGCATAGCTGCCGGCTGTAATGTATGCATGACAGTCATCTGATCGCCGTTATTTCCATTTCCTGTGACAGAAACTGAGTTTTGAGGCTGAAGTGTACCACCGGATGTTGCCACTTGATACTGGTCAATATCCATGGCTCTTTGTGTAACATGCAGTTAAAAAACTGAAAGAAAATATTTCATAAATTAATATAAACATTAATAAAAAAAATTGGAAATATAATTTTAGTCAGTAAAACAAATTAACTGAAAATTATCTTATCATTTATAAGTAATTAATTCAAAGATATCATCCTTTAGGGTTCATTGCAGTTTGTCATTACAATTTTCCACATTGTCATCAAAAATATCCAGTGCCCTAATATTGTTAGATTTAAAGCTTGCAGCAAAATTAAGTTCATAACAGAAATATTACAAAATTCTTTGTACAGTTAATAAAGAAAAAAGAAACAGTAAATGAAAATACTTGTTAAATTGTTATACATTTTGTCATTATTGTATAAGTACTATCATATATTCACACACAATTGGATATTGTACAGACTAGATGATTATTGTACGTCTGGCAATAGTAAGCACCATCAAGCAGTAGTTGAGAACAGGAAAATTTGAAATTATACTAGCCAAAATTAGTACCAGATTAGCTATGACTGACCTATAATTTTAACATAATTCAATACTATATAAGTAATAACAACACTTTCATATTTATATTCTCATTTTCTTTGTTATCTAGTATTGATAATTTTCTTATAATTATTAATGAAAATTTGCTTACTTTTCTTCTCTAAACTTATAAATATCAACGATATATATTATCTTTATCTTTTAATAAAGAATATAAATAACTTGAACTTTTTTAAAAAAACTTTTAAATTTGAATCCTGATTCAAGAAAAACATTGGTACTATTGGAACATAATTATCAAATCCAGCAATGAGTTGCAAAACTTTCCTAGAAAACTAGTTAAAATTGTGTGTGGCACCATTTGTTATAAAAAGTTTTTAAAATGAAATCTCATATTATTATTATTATTACAGTAGAGCCTCGAAAACTCGGCCTAATGTGGACCGTAGGGTGGCCGAGTTTGTGAAAATGCCGAGTTATCGGGAATGGGGTTAAAAAAGGATAAGTATGCGTGTTTCCTCAGAAAATATTGTACTGTACTTGTATGTATTGTTTGCTTGAGAATACAACCAGAGAATAAACTGCCCAAATACCCTTAAACAAAGGAAAAGTACGTCCTTTATGAACGCATAGAGCCTTTACTACATGAAAATGAAAATTAATGAATACACTGTGTACAGTAATTTACCTGATAAGACAGACCTCAGAAAAATACTTTATGAGGCATAAAGCTGTCTATAATGAAAATTAATTAACTAAGGATTTTTTTGCCCTGCCAGGGTGTGGCCGAGTTATCTGGAGTGCCGGGTTATCGAGTGCCAAGTTTGAGGCTCTACTGTATTATAAAATAACAAAAAATCTTTTATCTACGATGATGTAAATGATGTAAACCACTGCTTTATAATTTTAAAATATTTTTCCTCAACAGAAGCCCACCAGTAGCAGAGTGAATAAAACCACTTAACACTGATCATATATTTGCTTCTCATTGGAGGGCTGACCATATGGCATTTTCTGGCTTTTCTTTGTGTTGAGCACCTAAATAGGGACCAATTTGTTTTGCAACACAAATTTCATATATTTTAGGGTACTACAAAGTCAAATTATGCAGTATAGTTATATGCAAGTATGCATGTATTTTAATGCAAAAAAAAAAAAAAAAGTTATATTTAATGATGGAAACATCAAAAAATTATTTCAAAAACTTTATAAGATATAGAGCTGTTTGTAAATTGTGTGGTGAGTATGCAGATAATCATTATAGTATATTACAAGGGAGTAGGGATGTTTAAAAAATGTTACACAATGCTAAGGTCTTAATCCTCGGATAACAGAATGATTTTCTTTTCAACGCTGCATAATAAATCGTACTGTTTATGTCACTGCTATGTTTGTTACACATTTAATTAATAAAATAATATAATGGTTGATACCTCATGCTATGTATTATTCCTTATTATAATCAAGGGTGTTGATTGGAGATATGCATTACATAATTTTGGGTTGGGTATGTGTGTTGGCATTATGGAATATTATAGGGGCAGAATGATAGTTGCAAAAATATTATGTAAACTTATGGATGATTTCATAGTCTACTACTAGTAAGATAGGCTATATGCAACTCAATGATAAGTATTTATGTACAGTATCTGAACATAAAAAAAGTACAGATGGCCACAAATTTTTCGGCTCCATATAATCTTATGGGACCTGTATTAATTTTTTTATGTTGATATAAAGAAAATTTCTAAATAATGCATTTAAATTATGTAACATAACATAAATTTTCTTTTATAATGTGTCCTTAAATATTAATATTAGGTAGAAAAGTGATATTATTTTTGTACAAAATATCATTATTATTTCTATTTACTTAGATTTTAGACTAGGAGCACTACATGACTTTGTTCTGTTGTGATAGATTTGAGGCAGAGTATTGCATTTTTGTAATTAAAAATTTCATAATTGGTATTAGTATATATAAATTATCTTTTGCTCCATCTAACCTGACACACTGACATGTGTTTGAATGTATATGTAAGGATGTATGTGATCAGAAGGAAATGATTATTGGTCACAGGAGAAGGCAATCCTTGTACGGTACATCCAAGATCAAACATGCTTGTTCTAGCAATCTTGTATCTCAAAAACAGAGACATGTAGTTCATTTCTTATTACATTTCTGGATTCCTCATCACAATTAATGGAAGATGGCAAAGTTTAATCAAACTTGATCGATTACAGATCGATCATAGTATACAACTTCCGTCAATGCCTCTGTAGTGTATATCTTAAGGTTCAAAAATATTTACTTTAGTAAATATACTTGTGTGTGTATACAGTATTGCCCATGAGCTATTTTTATATATTTGTAACTTCTGTTTAAAATCATGCATATGATGCATGATTTTAAACAGTACATAAACTGCAAATTAACAAAAATAAAAATTTTAAAGAAAATTTATAAATTTGGAAAAGTTTCTACTCTATTTCTTTTAAATTAATAATAAATTATTGCTTTTGATTGCTGCATTTAAAATTGATTTGACAATGAAAATGAATGTTGGCAATATTTTGTTTTTCATGTTAATATTGTGAAAACTTATCATTTAAAATAATTAAACAACAGTCATAGTATCAATGATATGTTTAATTGGGCTGCAATTATCAAATTGTAGAACTATACATTCCCACTATCATCCGTCTCTCCATTAATCTCAAGAATGGAGTAAGATAGATAATAATTGAGATCAGATATAATCCAAGCTTAAGAGCCAAAGGCTCCAAAACTATAAACAAACTTCTGATTTGAATTGGAAATCACGTGATTCCAATTCAAAATTCTTATTTAAATTAAAATATAATTAAAAATTTCAGCTTAGCATTGCAAAAATGTTACAATATGTAATTGTTTTTTTATTAAGAAATGAAAACAGTCTAATAAAAAATGAAAAAATTTCAAAAATAATTTTCTTGAAATATAATGATGATATAGAAGAAACCATATAATTTTTTCTCCGAAATTAACATTTAGTTGTCTTGAATAAAAAGTATGAAACTGGAAACAAGAGTTATATATAAGGCACATAACAACAAAGTTTATTAATATTTAAAATATGACATTAAGTAACAATAGAAAGATTATGGCAAATGCCAGTTTTTAAATCTGATTACAGTATAGTAAATTAGGACAAGGATATTTCTTGTACAAGACACTAATATCTTAACAATTTGAGTTGTTCAAATTGTTTTTACAAAAATTTTATTTAAATTATGACAGAAAATCATTTTTACAAATGATATTTTTTGTTAAGTTATGATCCAGGAAACAGAGAAGTCAAAGTTTTAGTTGCAAGTTGATAATTATTATTATTATATTTTTAGAATATTTATGATATGAATTTGATTTAAAAAGCTATTAAAAATGTGAATTCATATTATAATGTATTCTTACAAATTTGTAATTTGCAAAATTAGGTATTTGTAACAGCAAAATGAATATCTTACATTTAAATTTCGAATCTATTAATCATATTTATGTCGTTTGTAACAAGTTTTATAATATATTCTACATTAGAACCATTCCATATTTAAACTTTTCAAGGTAAGTTCAGATAAAACAAGAAAAAATTCCTTTTGTAAACAATTATATGCATGAGCAGAGAGGAAATTTCTTTCCTTTATTATTGTAATTTTTTCCATCAGTTAATATGCATTCAACATATTAATAGTAGTTCTATTAAATTAGTTGCAAGCTGTAAACAATATGTATATAGATAAATAAATGAATCACACTTTCTAGCCTTTAGAATCAATCATTTAATATGTTTTCTGTAAAGATTTAACTGCCAGAAAGACTTAAGTAACTGTTATTTTACTAACAACTCCATAAAAACAATAGTGTGCAAATAGAGAGACTTTTCCTCATTGAACAGCCCTGTATTTAATAACAAACGACGAAATAAGTACGTATTATAAAGCATTACAGTGTTTTTAAGTTAAATATATAAATGCAAGGGATGTAGAACTGGATGACATTTTGACAGGTATCATTTACCTAGTGTAACCTGCATATAGGAACCGCGCCTCGCTGCCTAATCTCTCTAAGTAAACTGTTTGCTAGTCAAATAAGGAAATAAACAGCGAAAAGACGGGAAAGAAAATGTAAGGCGAGAGGAAGAAAAGAAGAACAAACAGCGTGGATGCTGGTTGAGCGCGCACACAACAGGCCACTTCCTTTGTTTTCATGTGTCTCCGCCATTTTGTCTGGTTACGTACGACACTACCGTTTTACCTATGTTAATTATTTACGAGACGAAGTTGAGTTTACGTATTCGTAGCACCCGCTGCCTAAGAAACACGTTGTGTAGGAAAATCAAAAGATAATATGCGGACTTACATTGGATGGTCCTTCCTTTCTTGATTGGCTATGGAAATCTTTTGCCAATGGACGACGAATCAAAACCCTGATTGGTGCGTTCTAGTAACATCGCTATACACCCCCGATTTATCGAATTTTATAAATTCGCACGTGTCCTTATAACGTCCGTAAATTATATATTAATACTTCTCTGTCGGAAATTGTTTTTGTTAAATTATCAGTCGTCGTTTCGGTTTGCTTTTTAAAAAAATTCGCCTTTCTCAAGTCGATATTGATGGAACAGCGTTGTGACGTTGGGAGTGTCGTTCGCCGTCACGTGATTATAGAATCGATTGTAAATGTTTTTGCCTCCGGGGATTTTTCAATCGTCTGCTGTTTTTTTTTCTTTTTCTGTGTCAAGGAAACTGACGTGGAAAGTTATGGAGTGCGTTCGCTTAAACGCGTTTCGGAGAAACTAAAATGAATTTTCCATCTAATTATTAATACAGCTAAACGCGTATCTAATTTAAAAAAGTATTTTACAAATAATTATTTATTTAGCGAGTTAATTGCTACCAAAGATCGTATCTAAGCATTCAAATTATTTTAAATGCGTTCATAAATTTTACTATATAAAAATTCAATATTTGGACGACAGATGGCGACAATTTTCTTTGTGGGTTTTAATTTAACGAAATTTTTATAATAAATTATTTTTATTAATTAATTAATATTTAATGAAAATATTCCTAAAGTTTGAATATANATTTAAGAGTAAAATTGCCTATTTTGTAACACGTCATCGATTTATTATACGTCATCGATTATGCAATATAAACAAACTCGTCTTAACAATAAAAAAAGGTTTTTGATTTGATTTAATTTAATTTATTAATTTTAATTTATATTTTAATTATAATTTTGGAAGGAACTACATCCAATTTTTAAAAATATTTTATATATATATGTACTACGTGTTAATCCATTACATAAAAAATAAAGTTGGAATTTACAGCCTTAATCTTTCTCGTTTAAATAACATTAATTTAATTTTTTATGAGAATAATAGCATCAATTATATAATAAACGAGTATTTTTTTAGTTTAATTTTCTTATTTAGAATTAAAAAATTAAAAAATCAGTGTTAATAATTAAAGAAAATCCAGAAGAAATTGTATAAGTCGGGGTCATTTCTCAACTGGAGGATCGCGAACTACACGAAAACTTTTTGCCTTAAAGCGCGTAAAAGAGGTCGTCGACGTAAAAAACAGTTGCGAAATACAATTCTAGTGATTATCCTAGTTATGTTTTTACAATTACTGCATTATAAAATCCTCAAATTTACTTTTTAAGAATAAAATATAATAATGAAAATGTCGCTATTTATGCGCATAAATACATCGTAATTGTGGAAATTATAGAAGAAAAAATTCCTATAATTTTCTCCAAAATTAAATTGTAAGCCGAATAGGGACAATTTTCTGTCGATATCCAATCAATAATTGGACGTCATCGCGAATGATTTATATCGAGACACGTGGTCCGTCACGTGACGGGATTCTGGTATTCATATCAAGAATTTATAGATCGATAACGCATAAAAAATAAGCCGATTCTTCTGGCTTTATCATCAGAATTTTAAAATTTTTATTTGGAAATTTTCTGCAAATATATTTACTACAATGGCCGAGTGGAAGCGAGTCGCTCTTCCGAACTCGGGTCTGGAACACGACTAGCGCGTGAATAAATTAATTATTTAATTAAACATTTTTAATTATAATTAATGCTTTGATTTTTTTAAATGAGTGAGGTTAATGTTGTTTTTAATCTCAAAATTCAAATTGCAGATAATCGTAATGTATTGCGAAAATTAAGCGTTGAAAACGGTTCGTTATACGTGGCCAAATTTCGGGAGGTGATAGGACATCAAAAAATAAGTGAGAGCCTAATTAGGAGAAAAGGCTGGTATCCTAAAACGGTTAGTTTTCGAGATAAAGGGGATTAGAGTGCTAAAAAATGGCCATTTTTTGAATATCTCGGAAACAATACGTGTTTTGCCTATTCAGTTGAAAATTATTTGTATGGTTTTTGTTATAGGGAGCCTACATTATTAAAAGTTGCACGTGTGAGTTTTTTTTTTCATCACGGGTGGTGTGGGGTGGCACATTTCTTCACGAAACGTACGTGACGCCACTGAAAACCTAATCAATTTTGATGTTTTAATCTGTCTCAAACACGCATCCCACGACCAAAATGCAAAGTAACTTTCTTTGCCAAATTTAATATAGTGTTTAATTAAATCTAACATTTCAATCAATTAGTTTTTCGGTAGTGTCGCATACGTTTTGTAAGAAATGAAAACCTGGAGGTGTTTCTCCATTTAGATGTTCGTACATCGAACTTTTATTTTCTCGGCTTTTATATATAACAGAACGAAAGTATGACGATCGGTCAAAAAATGACCCTTCCCATTTTTTTTACATTTTTTGGACTCAAGGGATTTTGATTTCGAGAAATATGAAAAGGATGGGGTTTGTTCTGTATGCGTGGATATTACAGCGAGTTTGTATATGGGAGAGACGATTTCGTTCACCCATTTTGAAGCTTAATAACTTCTGTGCTGTTTATCAAAGCTTTCTGAAATTTTGCAGGGAGGCTTATGTATTAGGGGCATTGATGCTATTAAAGTTTAATAGTTAAAGATCGGGGATAGGGAGATAGAGGGACTGGTATGTCATAACTCTAGCGGGATCGGACTTAATGAAAATTTTACTCGTTATAAGCATTTACATTTTGTTTTATAAAAGTGATTTCTACCTTAAAATTAAGCTTTTTATCATTTTACAATAATTAATAATATGAAAAAATTTTCAAACTATACAGTAGATATACATGAAGTAATATAAATTCTGTTTTCTTAACAAATTATAATAAAGTCCTTTATCCTTTGCTGTTTACAGAGAGGAAGAACATCGTATCTTCTTTTTTTAATTCTTCTCTATGACGAGTTCAACGTGAATATATGACGTCATCATTTCCAGGCCATTTTCGCGTTCGCTCGTGTCGGTATGGTGTAATGCACTTAACGAAAGCGAGAAATGTCATCACCTCTTCTCGCCACATATTCCTGCTCGCTCGTGTCTGCATATTTGCACCTTATGGTATACAGAGAGAAGAAAATCGGGCAGTTGGGATATTATCAGAGCTGTAGACCATGCCCACGGGAGTAAAAAATGTCAAAGAAACCATAGTCATGTGACAATTTGCGGGATATAACCCTCCCCAAAATCAGCCTATCTGGAATTTTGAACACCCTCAAAAATTGGGATAAAATTTAAAAGTGGAAAAATCCGGCCACTGCTTCTCAAAACTTTTTATTTTGGTAAAGGTTGGATTAAAGAGTCAATATAATAATATCACTATAATATTATTTTATTCATACTTATACATCATAATAATATTTTAACACATCTTTCACATTTTAAGTTTTTTATAAAGTTACAATTCAAATTACAGGGCTAGTTTCTCATAGAATATCCTTCTAGAAGGTCCCTTTAGCAGATTGTCCTCGTATTATATTGACTTATTCCGTTGATCCAATATACTATTTTCAATCAATTTTAACTGAATTGTATGTATAATATTATTTACAATATATACATAACAAATTTTTAATTATATTATAAAATTTATATTTTCTTCCTTTTATAAAAGTTTTTAACTGTTAATAGAATATTTTAGATGCATTTAATATATATTCCATTAAATCTTTATTGTCTTGTTTATCAATTAAGAATTTTTCTCTTTCAAAGTGCCTCAAGCGTGTTTCCATGTGTTATTAAGTCCGGATTTCGAGGAGGCCATTTCATATCAAATCCTGGTCCAATCAATCATCCATTGAATTCATTGTCCAGACGTTCTAGGACATAATTTTATGCATTAAAGACTGCAAGTTTATTAATTGCTTAAAATCCTTCTTCTTTCTTTTAAATTTATTAAACAATCAAACCTTCTAACAACGGACACTGACGGAAAGATAAAAAATGACCGCTGTTAGCAGGTTATTTTATACGCTTTTTTTTAATTAAAAAAAGTTACTGAAAAAAATGGCCACTGTTTAGAAATGATCGTTATTGGAGGTTCGACTGCTTTTTTTGGGCTGATTAATTTAAGGAAAACCTGTCCAAAACGGGACCTGAATAAAAAGGAAATTTGCCTAAACGGGAAAATGTCTCGGAACGGAACGATTTTCTATGTTAAGAAACCTGTTCAAAACGGAAACCTGCCAAACCGGAAAAAATATTCGGTAACGTGTGATTCCGGTTTAAGAAGGTTTTACTGCATACTTCTTTATTTATTTCGCTTTTATGACCAGTGGGAATGTTTTTATCATCACTGAAATACGAACTTTTATTAAACATTTCGGTGTAATATATCTCAGCTAATAATCTCAGCTTGTGGCACCGGTCTTACTGGAAGTGGGAAGCTCCGTTTACAAGTTGCACGAACCTATGATTGGGTCACGTAATAACGAAGTCTACTGTATAATAATATATGTTATGCGTACAGATCATATTTGTATCAAATTTTAAATAAATTACGCAAAATGTTTTAACGTATGGTAGACCACCAATAGTCGAGTGGATAAAACCACTCGACCTACACCACTAAAGTTAAAGTTGTGTTTGGCGCCATCGGTTACGACATGTTAAAAAATAACTTTTATATTATTATTTATTATAAAAAAGGCAAAATGCTTAATTTTGAGGATTTTATTTCACACTTTCCGCCTTGTGGGCACTAAGAGAGCCTTATTTATAACAAGCCCATTATGAGTTCGGCCAGGTGGTGAGGGACGGGGCCCTGACATATCCGGACGGACCGCCCCCAAAAAATTTCTGAGGATTTTTCGACCTTCCGGATTCAATCCCGGGTCCCCCAGAACGGTAGGCTGCCACTTTGACCTCTCGGCCATCCGGACGTCACTTAATTTTGAAGGTAGAGAGGAGTTGTTTATGAAATTGTAAATGCCAAAAAGCCAGTTGAGTGACACATCCCTAAAAACAAAGAAGATTCTAGGCAGATTCTTAGTTATTCATTCTCCATTGCCAACAGGGTGGGTTTTTCATATTTTTTTCACTTGAATAGTGCCGGTTTCCCATCGAAAATCTTATAAGGCAGATCGCCCATGTGTTGAACCAGAAGATATTTAAAAATGATTCATATTTATAATACATGCACATGCATAATGTTAATTGTAACCATATATATGGAAGATTCAATGTAAAAGAACCACTAACAATAATCTTTCTGTGTATTCAATAATTAAAAATGACTTTTTTAGAGAAATTTAATGTCTTAATTACCTTATTAATATTTAATTAGTAATAGTATCTAAAAATTTACTATTGATATGTGTTGATTTTGATTTAATGAAATCAAAACTATTTATTTATTTTTTAAAAGATCTAGTTATCTTATGGAATGTTGTAATAGGTTAAAATCCATTTAAAGTTATCTCCAATATTAATATAAACATTAAAGTTACAGTACTTGTTCTATATTTCTCCAAAGTCTTTGAATTTTATTGTACCTTTGACATAATTGTTGGAATGTAAATAAGAAGGGGGGAAATGGGTTCATGTGTCAATTGCTGAAAAAATTCAAGTAGGTCACTATTGCAAATGGATAAAGTAGAAGTTTATATTGAGTTTCTCTCTATGTTACTTTAGAAGTAAGTATCTTAAATTGTTTTACTTTATTACATATAAAAACATTAAAAATGTATAAGTATATTGAAAAATAATTCAAATTTTAATTGTTAAATGTAAATATTTAGTAAATAACTGATTAAAATATGAATTAATTCATTTGAATAATTAATTTGTAAATTTTATGTACCAATATTTAATGAATAATAAGATTATAAGTAAAAAATATTATCAAAGATGGGCCTAAATTTCTAAGCCTCATAGGTTATATTTATACAACCAATCTCTGAACGTTGGCCACTGGTGGATACATAAAAATGGCCGTTGTTTGGAGGTGACCGTTAGTGAAGGTTCATCTTTCAATACATAACATATATTTAAACTGTACATATGTATGTATTAATATACAATTAATATACAAGCGGTTTCGTTCCCTGTACACTGGGAGTTCGGCCGTGGGTTCGCGCCCCGCCAAGGACGTGGAGTTTTCCGGGTTTTCTCCACGTCTGTAACGCCTGAATAGGGGCCAGTTACTCTTAACAAAGACCTCCTAGCAGTCATCCCCCCTAGACAGATTGCCCAAGTGTTGCGTTGCCGTAACTTAATAAAACAAACAAGCTAATACGTCTGCACTTTGAGAAGGAAACATTCACATGACAATAACATTCACAGTTCAATAATTTCAGTTAGATGGTACTCGTATAATCTGTGCCGCATAATAAGGCGAACCCTTTACCTATGTGTGTGTTCGGGGTCTGCGGTGACGTCATTATTCGTTCCTGGAAGCTCTTTCCGTTTTCCCGTCCACTGTGGAGGGACTTTACTGTTATATATAACAAAGGAAAAGTATGGTGATAGGTCAAAAATGATCCCTTATTTGAGATTTGTACATTTTTGTATTCAGAACACCTTGAAACGTCGAGAAATGCAAAAAATTCGGGGTTTTCTCTGTATGTATGAATGTTAATGTGTGGGGGGGCACGAGTTTGTTCATCCTCTTTGAAAGCTTAATAACTCCTGTGCTTTTTGTCGAAAATTTCTGATATTTTGCAGGGAGGTTTGTTTATTAGGGGGATTGATGCTATTAAATTTTGGTGGTTAAAGGTCGAGGGAGTGAGGAGATAATGGAGGTCGTGTATACCCCCAGTAGGGTCGGACTTAATGACGATTTTGCTCGTTATTAGCATTTACAAATTTTTATAAAACTCATCCTTACCCTCAAAATTAAGCTTTTTGCCATTTTATAATAGTTAAAAATATAAGGTTTTTTTAATAAAATATGATAACATACGGCGCCATCAAATGTTGCCGAGAAAGTTAAGCAACTCGTTGCCGGATTTTATATAACAGAGACAGGAAAGTAACAACATTAGGAAAATTGTGTTTGCATGGAATTATACAGTTTTTCTGGACACGAAAAATGTCGATAGCTGATACTTATCCATAGTTCACGACATGAAAATTTCACGTGCAAATGTTAGGCACTATTTGTATGTAACGAGGACAATATGAAGAGCATAATTATCTGTCCCTTCAAGTTGCTAAATTTGGCTTCTACAGATTTTAATCTATTTGCCTTCTTGAGATAGCTTTTGTTAAGATAAAGTCGTCAAATGTGCATCGTAGCATGACTAATACAAGAGAGTTGTAAGAGGAAAAGGAAAATTTATCAAATGCCGTGATAAGTGTCTTAAACTTTCAGGAATTTATATTGAGAAATCTCGTGTCACTGACATTTTTGTTGTATTAAGATATTATCAACTTACTCTGCTGTGTTATGTTTAATTTATGGCATTTTATTGTCAGATCTTTCGTATTAATTAGAATTTATTTCGAAATCTGAAAGGAAAATATTTGTATATGAATAATTTTTTTCTTAAAATTGAGATAATGATACGATTCTTTATAAGCTACTAGCAGACCCCGCCACGCGTTGTTGTGGCTCAAAAAGTATCTATTATAAATTTATAACACTTCCCCGTGGGGGGGGATTTTTCGAAAAATTTCTTCTTAGTGTACATTCTGTTGACGTACCCTATTAAAACGCAAAAAACCGCATCTAAAATAGTATAAATAGAAGCAGAGTTCTTTACGGTAAGCCTTAATCCTAACCATCTCCCTTCAGTGGGGGGAATTTCGACACGTATATTATATAAAAACACGTGCGTATTCGAATGCAGCGTTGTGTCAAAATTTCAAAGGAATCGGTAGGAACAAACGAACATTACATTTTTATTTATATAGATAGATAGAAGATGATCTGCTTTAGTTCATTTTCACAGAAAAGCATAATGCCTCACAGAAAAGCAAACTTAGGGCGTCGTACTCGTAGCGCCATCTGTTGGACATAAAAGCCTTAACCTAGATTATATATTTTAATTTATATGAATGTTTAACGGAATAATATACAGCCTATGTCCACCCTGAGGTTCCATTCTAAATATTGGTGAAAGAATTTTTGAAATCGGATGAGTAGTTTCGGAGATTACCTGCTGCAAACAAACTTACATACATACATACATACTTACAAACATTACCTCTTTATAATATTAGTATAAATAATAACTATGAGTCTTCTGGCCTTATTATGATTACATATTCATCATACGCCTTTCCGATTTTTATTCATTAACGTATGATGTCCCGAATGTAATTCGCTTTATTCAACAGCCGGGTTACATGTATACATTTTGACAATATAACAATCATAAAAAAAATTCATAAAAATTGATATTAAATTACCAAACACCGTAACGACACTTCACGGACTCTATTGTGCCATATTCAGTTCCTGATAGTGCTTTTACCAAAATAAATATTCTTTATCTTCTTTTTCAAGTCTAATAGACGGTGAAATCGAAACCATCATATTTTACATCGAACTGTCTGTTAAATATTTCTCGATTTATCACATAGAATAGTCTTAAAGGGCGAGAAATTTCATGATGTGAAAACAATTCGTGTACAGAAAGCGCTTTTTCTTTCAAATAATTATACAAATTCGATGAATTAATGGGTAAATAATGGACGGAGGAGAAGGAAGAGAAGGAGATCGAAAAGGAGAAGGAGTGGAAACAGGAGGAGGAGAAGGAAGACATTATGGAAAAGCTTAGTACAGGTGCCACGATGTAATATGTAAATAAATTTGTCACAAAACGCATCTTTGACAGAAAATCTCAACAACTAAATAACTAATATTTTTCATAAAAATCCGAGGAGGAAACAGTTATAATTAGTGATGTAACGAATATTCGGTTACTATTCGGTATTTGGCCTATTCGGCCTATTTTTCGCTATTCGGCCAAATAGCCTACCGAATATTTAATCACTATTCGGCCGAATACCGAATACTGTACTCAATGCAGGGCGACTGTCGACTGGGCATGGTGTCACCTGGTGCGGTAATTCATGGTATCACCCCATTGGTATCAATTTTTTGACGTCGACCTTTATTTTTTGCTCTTCAGTTGCAAAAGTAAAAGTTATAAAACAAAAGGAAACGTAAACTTTTTAGAGGATTTTAAAAGTGAGAACAAAAAAGAGTAGTTTTTAACCATCCTCCCCTCCCCCTTTCCAAGTGACCCGCGAGCTAATACTAAAAAAAATAATGTACAAAATTTGACCCACTTCTCAAAAAGGTTCGTCATCACTGATCTAGGCGTTTAAGGCATTAACCTACTGCTGTGGGATCCAGCAAGTTCACCCCAAAAATATTTTGGAGTGGTATTTATTTGCCTGTGTTAAATTTCTCTCCTGTCATTACCTATGTGTGTAGCAATGATTTGTGTTATATAAACTTTTGTATTTGTATTGTGTAGCAACACTTCGTATCATATAACCATTGTATTATTTTTTTATAATAAATAAACGGCCATGACGTGGCGTCTTTTATCAAGCCCGCCACTTTTGGTTCGGTATGACTTGAAACGGATCAAAGTAGTCGTGTATGATTTTTTAAACTTACTTGTAAGGTATCCTACTCACTATCTGTGAACACATAACTTGCAACAGTGATATATTCAACAGCCTGATACCTTGGGCACAGCCTACAATAAAAACAGCTAGTCAAATGGGGGAAATCCCGTAGAAGAGTTGTATCCAAAAGAAAATATGCGCTCTGGCTAGATGGAGCTACACTACGGACAATAACAACACAGCTGATTAAGTTATCGTAGCTACATGCTGTCACATGCTCTTAAAACAAAACAGCAATTCAAACGTAGGATAGAGTAAATTATTAATTCTTTTAATTAAGATTTTGCCCAGATTCCGCAGAACAGTCTAAAACAATAGGCATATTATCAATAATCATCTAGAAGGTTAAATGCAATAATAATTAATAGAGTAAATCTACTGTACCTGTTGTGGCCACCGTGTTTAATGCAAGTAAAACTATTTTACGAGAATATTTTTTAATATAATTGACAAAAACTAAGCATAATATACAGTCTCTGAATATTATTTTAGCTTTTAAACTAGTGAAATGACCAAGAAAAAATATTTTGTAGTTTTATATTCATCAAGTCTATTTTATATTATCGATATTATTTTATCCAAGCAGACTTAACTTATAGAAAAGATATTACTGCCACAGCAAATTATTGTATAACTTACATATAAAACTATTTTTATTTGACTGGAAAAAAAATAAATGTGATGAATTTTTTTAGAATTAGATTACATAGTAAATTTGGGTGTCCGTGTTTACCACACATAAACAATGGATTTTCTCCATTCAAAGAAGAATAATCTTGCATAAATTATGCATCACTGCTGGTTGATGGTCGAATTAAAGATGGTAAGCTTGCATGCAGGGACGGATCTAGGTTTTTCGGGGCCTAGGACTTATTGAAGGCCAATGGGGCATCGTTTTTTCTTAATACAAATACTGTAATACTATAAATTATCATTATTATATTATTAATATTAACTATTTTTTACTATACGATAAATGCTCATTGTTAATAAAAAAGTATTAAAAATTTATAATAATAATTCAATTTTTGTGGGCCCTTGATATTTG